CCTCAAAACCCAGATCAGTAAGATCTGTCAAGAAACTTCAATGACATGGGTTCAGGCCTTGCCTCTAGTCTTGCTGAGAGCTCACATACAACCAAGGCAGAGGGACAATACAAGTCCCTATGAAATCTTGTATGGCAAACCATACCAGGTTCCACATATCCCAGGGAAAACTCATACTGATTTGCAGAAATGCTTAATGGTTTTAAGTTCCAATTTGCAGAAGCTCCAGAGATTCGCCGTGTTGTCCAAGCCCATAGGACTGGACACAGCTGCTCATCCATTCCAGCCTGGGAGACTGGATCTACATCAAGTGGTGAGACAGAAACCCTTTGCAAGCTGAGTGGAAGGTACCGTTCCAAGTTTTGCTGCCCACCCTCACTGCAGTCAAGGTTGCTGAGAAAGGACCGTAGACTCACTACTCCAGAGTCAAGAAACCATCGAAGAACCAGAGACTGATGCAAATCAAGCTGCAGTGGTTTAAACTGCTTTTCACATGTCTGTTGTCTGCCCAGCTGGTAACCATGATTCAGGATTCGGCCCATTAATTGCATTGTGATGGTCCAAAATATATCCAGAGCTCTNCAGGATTCGGCCCATTAATTGCATTGTGATGGTCCAAAATATATCCAGAGCTCTTGACAGGACCAATTGCTGGATCTGTACCCAGTTATCTCATCTAGATGGGGGTGGTAACTGGCCATTGATTGGTATGAAAATTGGGAAGGGACTCAAATTCTACATGAAGTAGTTTCCAAAATTACCACCTTAAAATTTGACCGTATTTTTCATGGTTACCAGACTGAGCCTGAGTAAAAGAAGTATCTCTGATAGTTGTAGTTGTGGTTAGTGTAGTGTAGAGACTAGACAAGTGGAGTCTTGTTAGTCTCTAAAAAGGGGGGGAGGGAATGATGCCTGATGATTTTTGCTTGTCCTTTCTACGCTTTCTGTACCCTCTATGCATCCGCCTGTACCCCTTAGCCCACATGCTTGTAATTCCTAAAGCTTAATATTCCAGCTAAGTTTAGGAGTTCTGCTGGGCAGAGAGACCAAACATCCTGAGGAAGGAGTCAGTGTACCCTGTGCTACCTTAAACCCGAGGCTCCAGCCTTGGGTGAAGCCCTCTGTCCAGAACATCTTGTGTAACCTGGGCTCTGACCTCATCTGGGGGGGGATTCATTAGAATAGGGGGATATTACTGCATTTGTTAAGTTTCTTATTGGGGAATCCTGGATAGATATGCTAATTCCTGAAATCTATAAAACTTGTACCCGTGCTGTACACAGGTGTGCATTCTGCCATCAAGTTGTGCACCTGGGATCCCAAATACCGAGGTAAAACCCTTTTTATCCCCTTAACCGTGTCTGTGTCATTATTAAAAACTGGCCTTTCAAGGCAACATGTGGATATAGAGTGGTTCGTCTAAAACTTCATCTGTGCTCAAAGATTGTTTTTTTTCCAGCCTTCATATCAGAATCCAACACAGTTTTTTTTTAACTGTGCCACCATGAAGATTCTAATACTTTCTTTTAAAGAAATAATTCCATTTTAATGTAATTTCCCTTTTTGAAACTAAGCCCAAAATTAGTGGATATTTTGGTGTTGTTGCTCCTGCAAGACATTAAATCCAAATTTATTACTGTCATTTTAGACAGTAGCTCTTTGACAGAAGTATTCAGCATCAAAATCAACTCAAGGATACTAAAACCTGGTGGTTCTTTCAGAGGCTGAGTAGGTCTTTTGGGGGGTTCAGACTAGCCAAAAATTTAGCTCAAGGTCTTTTAGTTCAATTCTSCCTTCGTTCTCTGAGCAAAATTTAAAATTTAGCAAGGGTACAGCCTTAGCTCCATAGGGTATTAGCTCCATAGAGAGGCATTGCAAGGRCACTGTCATGAGAAGAGTTTTTTAATTCAGCTTGGATGCAGATTAAGAAATAGCAGCAATTCATATTGACTTGAATTTCACWAAGGGCTCTCACAGAAAATTGCTTTTGAAGTTCAGAAAACACCTAACTTGGATATCAAAATCAATCCATCATGAAAGATTTCAGGAAAGTGGAATTGGAAATTACCCCTTAATAGTCCGGCAGAATTGACATATTACCTTACAAAGAATTAATGGGCAAAGAATGAATTCACCAAATCTTTGTATAAATGAACATATATTTGCTTCCTATGTTTAAAGAAAGCTTTTCTCATCTCTCTCTTTAATAGTTTGAGGAGGTTAAGAAGTTAAAGAGGAAAATATGTGGGCAGCATTGGGTGGACTTATATGTCAAACTTCTGTACAATAATATTATATTTCCATTTCCACTGGAACAGCTTTGACTAAAACTGTTTAAATGTGACCTGTGCTTGTGACATTAGCCTCTGTAAAACATGTAAAGGTTGGTTATTGTTGGATGTATTGCATTAGGAAGATCACTGCCAGCAGGTCAAGGATGTGMCTCTCTCCCTCTGCTCAGCCCTGGTGAGACACATCTGTGCTATGTCCAGTTCCAGACTCTAAAGCACAAGAAAGAGATGGAGCTCCTGGAGCAGGTCCAGCAGAGGCCACAAGGGTGAGGAGGGAACTGGAGCATCTCTTACRACCAAAGGCTGAGGGAGCTGGGCCTGTTCAACCTCGAGAAGACTCAGAGGAGATCTCATCAGAGTCTGGAGGAAGRGTGCCAAGAGGATGGAGCCAGGCTTTTCTCAGTGGTGTCAAGCAATAGGACACAAGGCAATAGGCAAAAACTGATGCACAGGAAGTTCCACTTAAATATGAACAACTTGGTTCCTGAAAGGTATCTGCCCATGGCAGGAGGCTTGGAAGTAGATGCTCTTTAAGATCCCTTCCAATCCAAGTCATTCTATGATTCTGTGATTCTATGATTCTACGGTTCTGCTTGTATGAGGAAAAATTTCTTTTCTGTGCAGGTGAATGAACAGTGAACTCCCAGGTTGCTCCAGTGAGGGCATTGTGGGGTCTCCCTCACTGGAGATACTCAAGAACTGTGTGGATGSAATCCTGTGCCATGTGCTCTAGGATGACCCTGCTTGAGCAGGGTGGCTGGTCCCATTGAACCACTGTGGTCCGTTCCAGACTTAGTGATTCTGTGATACACCTCATCCACCATGTGTGTCTTTACTATAATATTTACTGTACTATATAAGCATATATATGTATACATAATTTTAGAATGTTTGTTTAATCATAAAAGTTTTAGAAAGTGCTGTTCAGAAATGTTTTTTTATTATCTCTAAGATTATCTGTCTGACCCACTTCATGTTTCACTAGTACACAGTTTGTTCATTAGGGTTTTTTTAACAGTTTCTGGAGGGAGTCACGCAGCTCCCTGCCTTCAGTTTGTTTGGGCGGTATTGTGTATACATGCTGACCAATACAACTGCATTTTCTTCTCTAGAGGTTTTTCAAACTGTAAATACCATTGCCTAAAACCTCACCCGTATTCAACACCTTGTTTTCTCAACTTTCAAATCAGAATGCATTTCTTTAGAAAGTATAAAGCAAGACAGATCCTGTGAAGGGATGGGGCTCCTTGCTGTCAAACAGCTGACCAAGGCTAAACTCTATGCAGACCATTAAAAAAAATCCAAAGTGTTTTGTTCCTAGCCAATGTGTGAGTATTACAGAGGAGACAAATGGATCTGTAAGAAATCACTGCTGCATAGTTAAGTGGGCTGCCTTTGTTTTTGGATTTAATTAACAACTCTTGCAAACTACTGTCTTCCCATATTGTCTCTCAGACTGCAGAATGAACAGTACCAATTTATATCAATACAATCAGAATAAAATAACAGTAGAATTTTAAAAAGAATGTGACCACAGATAACACTGAGAATTACTTTAAGCCATGTAAAACAATGTTGTGCAAAGCACAGTAATAAAAATGCACCCTAGATATAACTGAATAGTCAACAGGGGGAAGCTCTCGACTCAGTGTTCCACAGCAGTGTGACTGTTGTCTTTTCATGCTTGGGACAGCATTGCATGGGAGATTTCACCCTGGCTCAGAATGCAGCCAGGGATCACCTGTTGAAGTTACTTGCAGGGCAACATGTGGTATAACATTCAAGTCAAGCCTAAATAAATAACTGCAATTTTAAAATTTCTCAATTATGTTGTATTAATTTCATCAGACCTTCAAATTGGCTGAGAGCATTTCTAACTATTTCTCTTTATTTCAGAGATATCATCTACTTTGCGTAAGGATTTTAAGCTCGTAATCAGAAAATCAATATATGCATTTAAGCCAACACCTTCGTTTCCTTGGAAGAATGTCTTTCTGTTATAGTAGAAGTAAATATTGACCCACAAAGAGGGCCTTTTTATTTCCTATTTAAATTGTCAGTGAACAAACATGCTCCAGATGCTGAATAGCCTAATGTTTTACAGTAAATGCAACTCCTGTGATTACAGCACTATTTCCACCTATAACACTTAAGTGCTAAGTACTTTCTTTCTTGAACTATTATAATGAACTAATATTTATACAGTAAACGCCACTCCTGTTAGCATGGCATCGTCTCCCCCTTGAGATTAGAACCCAACTGTTAAAGCAGTTCTGTGCTGGAAATAAGAACTCAAGAGCTTCTGGTTCTAAATTCACAGTAAGAGAAAYTTGCTAGAGCGCAGCACAGGATTAKCTTTGTTTGTTKGGGAAAWCGCTGTGACAGAATAATGCKGCARCCCCTTCGCACCTTYCCCCGGGGCCCAGCTTTCCCTGAGGGGCGTAGCARCCTCTCCCCTGCGCGTTAAGTGGAGCGGGTGGGAGCACCACACTCGAGAGAACATCTCCGCTATGTCGGCCGAGCGTAACGTTGCAGTGCAGAGTGGGTGGGCGCACATCATCAGTGAGGCTGGAAAAGATCTGCGGGATSTGGACAAGAGACAGGGACACAGCCACCGCTGGAGCCAAGACCAGGATCGGCGGCGGAAGTGCGGCCACCGCCCCCTCGCGCACGTCACGGCGCGGCGCAGGCGCGTGGCGGGGCTGCCGCGGCTCCTCTCCCCTCAGCCGCCTCCCTCTCCCCTTCCCTCCCTCCGTCCCTCCGTCCGTCCCTCCGTCCCTCCCTCCGGCCGCCGGGCCGCGGCTCCTCCCCGCACCACCTTTGGCCGAGTCGCGGGAGTGCGCAGACGGCACAGCTCTTCGGCGGCAGCGGCTTCATCCGCGCCGAGCATCAGTCGGGAAAGGCGCGTCCTCCTCCCCTTCCTCCTCTTGTCGCTGYCCCCGCGGCCATGGAGCTGCCCGAGAGCCAGTGCAAGAAAGTCAAGCTGAGCAACAGGGTGCCGAGCTGGGTGAGCGAGCGGGCGGTGCGCCGGCGGGCAGGTGGGCGTGCGGGGGCAGAGCGGAGGGGAGGAAGAAGCGGCCGAGCGCCGTGCTGATGTGGCAGCGGCAGCCGCGACGGGGGGCTCCGTGTCCGGCTCCGTGTCCCGCTCCCCGCCCGGGCCGGCAGGGATGCGGGGCGGGGGCGCTGCGCTGCGAGCCGGTCACGGAGCGGCAGCGCCGGGGCCCCGAGGGCAGCGCGGCCGGGGAGCCCCGCGGGCCGGCCCGGAGCGGCGGTGAGGGAGCGGGGAAGGGCGGGAAGCCCCTCCGGAGAGGAGCCGGCGTCTGGAGGTTTCATCCTTGCCTCTTCCGTCGGGAGCCCTCTGCTTCCAGCGTTTTGGAAGAAGGAAGGCTTAAGAATGCGATGTACAATGTGGCCATTCATAAATCTGGGTTGGCAAAAGACTGGGGTTCTTTGTATGGCGGGTGTTATGTGGAAAACTGTCGAGACGGGGCTTAAAAAAAAAAATCTAACCAAAGCCTTCATTCTTGTTCATAAAGATGGGGGAAGATCGGTTTACAGCAAAGACCGAAATGCAGCTATTTAGAAGAGACATTGCAGGCCTTTGAGAACATTTGATACCTCTGATGATGCAAGACAAGTGAAAAAAAAAAAAAAGAAAGTATGATTTCTTTCAACCCATGCTGAGTTGAAACAGGCAAGACATAAGATCGAGAAAGCATTTGATATGAATGTAAGAGTGTAAATCTGTCTTTGAAGTCTTGCTGTGAGTAGTGCAGGCCACAGTTTTCCTGATAAAAACAGCTGTTGCCTGAAAAACGGGGAAATTGGTATTATACTGTTTGATATATGTTGTGCCGGTCCAAGCCTCTTCCGATGTGTACAAGCTCAAACTTGCTTACATAAGAGAGTATAAGGAAAGTTACATTCTTTCAATTTCCACTAGGAAAAARCAAAATCGGATGTTTAGAAGATAGTGAAATAGACGATGCTGGGTGGGGTTAACAAAGTGTGTGCAAAAGTTACTCTGTATCACTTCCTTTGTCATCAGCAAAGCCAAGATAGATTTGTCCCAACCAGGGAAGTTCCTTAACAGACATTAAGTGTTTGCTGAGTTCAGTTGAGGTTGGCAACCCCCTCTATGCTACGTGGCAAGCAGAGGAAGTCTTCCGCTTCTCCTTTTTGCTTCAGAAGACCTCAACTGAAATGCTCTTTATAAACCAATAAGCTTCACCAGCTTCACTGGTGCTGATTCACATGCTCCACAGGCAAATATTCTGGCACTTCTGGCTCTGCATCTGTTCAGCTGAGRGCAAATTCAAAGCGACTTACCCTGATGGAATTGGCAGCCCCTAGAAGAGTAGGCAGTCTTGTCTTTCAGAATTTCTCTGTGGTTCCAGCACTACTCAAAATACACCTCTGCCTGTGGAAATGCCCTTGCCAAGCCCACCTCTGAGCACAGCACACTTCCCAGTTACAGAGCACAGCGTAGCCGCAGATGCTGCCATTACACTGGCTGGATAAGGAGATGTGTGGAATGCTTTCTCTAAAGTGGCTTGAATTCCTAGCACAGCTGAGCTGTTGTGACGATTGCAGGTGACTCCAGATGAGAACTTGCTCCAATTCTTGTTTCTGAGAGCATATTCAATGGAGTAATTCTGGCTTTGTTTTTTATCCAACCCCTCTGATGCCAACAAGTGAGTCCTCTCCAGCACTGGTCAATAAATTGTCTCTGCCTTTGGTCATGCTGATACTGCAGTGGGTGGCAAGCGAAGACACACTCCTTRTTGTATCTTTAGCACTGAATTGCTTGTATCCACAGTACTGCAGAAGATTCTGGGAGATTTCTGCTGCTGTGATCCTTCAAACTGTYCCAGCTTTAGAGCACCCAGGGGAGTTGGTGTAAGTGGCAGGGGAGCATGCATTTGGCAGATCAGGTGGTGCTACATACAGAGGTGTTTAAATGCCTTATTGTATTGGTATCACTGTGGCAAACTGCTTTCTGGTGGGCAGTTGTAAGGTTCCAAGTGAGAATTTTTGTTGTAGGTGGGAGAAAATGTAACGCTGGAGGCTATTTCAGAATATGGATTGGGGAATTGTTAAGTTTTTTAAAGACTGAAGGATGTTATTGCCCAGGTGTATTTTCTGGGCTTGCCATTCTTTCCCAAGCACAGTTATCCAAATCAAAGCACAGATTTTTCAAACCAGAATTTGAGAAAGTAACTAATGGAAGGTATTCCTGACAAATCTTTTGGTCCTGAAATCTCACCTAAATATGTGAGTTTAGCCTCTGTGGTAGCTGAATTTTTGTGTTATGTCTGTTTTGCTTGCTTGTATATGTATGTAGACAAGAAAAATGGGCTATGTTCCATCTGCTTGAGTTGCTGTTTGGCTATTGAGCGGAAGTTTGCAGGGGAAAAAAAGAAAACTATTGTTTGGTTATCAGTGCTGAAGAATAAATGTCATAAAAATGTGTTGTTATCAGGGTACCTGATTTATAAGAGGTAGACCGTGAGCAAGTTAACAAATGACCTAAAGATGGATATGGGAAATGGGAAAGGCTTTGAAAGTAAGGCAGCAGTTCAGAGGGGAGGGTGCATGTGTTGCTTTTGCTAGTTTGTGGGAGTTCTTAGCTTGGGGAACCAGCACACATCTTAGAGCAGAAGGATATGGAATAAGTTGCAGTTTCTTTGGTATATATGGTTTGTATGGAAACCAMATCTGTTGTTTTCTGATATTTCCAGCTTCAAGCTGTCCCAAGATGGTGCTGCAGCTTGGGGAGTCTCTGCTGGTCATGGAAAGACTTATTTCCTTCCCCAAAGGTCTTGCTTTGTGGAAACTTAAATTTGATATTGATTGTAAAAGCACAATACTTCATTGCTGCTTGGAAGTATGAGGAATAAATTCATATTATGCCAGAGTATATGCCATCTCCCTGTTAACCATAAAACAATTTAGCAAATCTCTTCCTTTGGCAGTCTTTTGATCTTGGCATTGCCACTTGGGCTTGCCTTGCATCATCTGGATGCCTGTCTGTGTCCTTGCATCAAATGTGTTTGGCACTGATAGTCTGATTTGGCTTTGTCAAAAAAAAAAAAAAAATAGATGTAACTGGACAAAACATCAAGAAAGATAAGAAAAGAAAAAAGCTCATCTATCTCAGGTAGTCTACATAGAGAAATTGACAGAGTTAGTATTTCCTTTTGGCCCCCCATGGTCTTTCTTTCTTTTGTTCCAGTAGTTCCTAGATGTCTGTAGTAATTAATTTCCTTGGTCAACTACCTGCAAAGCTAAAATTTTACCTTTATGCCAGAAAAAGTAAACAGCAGAGTTATCCTTCCTTGCTTTATCATTCCAGCTCTCTAGTGCTATCTATGCAATGATTTCTGTAATACCCCTTTTTTTTACTTCAATTCAAAGATATTTGCCTGTTAGAGCAATTTTGATTTCATGTGAGAAATGAMCCAATATAGTGGGGGAGAAGAAAGGAAGGCTATGTCAGCATACACAGCTCACATTACTGTTATAATGAAACTCAGTGGACTGAAGCATTATTTCTGTTTAATGTGGTGAAGTAGGAGGGAAAATATAAGATGCAGTGTTTCTCTACATAATGCAGAAGCAGTGTGTTGCAAAGTGGCAAACATATTTTTTTTAGGTATGCCAGATTGGAAATAACCTATAGTTTTGTTAAAAAAAACAACAGATAAACTGTGGTGATTAATGCCGTTTTTTTCATTAGCCCCTTTACAAAATGTATTTTGTCCTTTCAGCAGTGACTATTACAGTGAAAGWAATTAGGCTTAGAGTTTTAAAATAGCTTTTTCAAAGAGTACTTTCTCATCACATTGAGTTTATCTATTGCATGTTTTCTTATGTTTCATTTCTTTTAACATCATCAATACAGATCACCAAGGTGAGTGATGCTTTGATATAGTGTAAAAGAAAATGACTGTTAATTTTATCTGGTATCATTTTGGATGGCCTTTTAATTTCATCAGTTGATAGTAATCAAATTTTATGTACAAGAATTTGAAGACTGGCTAAATAATTTAAGAGCACAAAGCATTATGTGCCAGTGAGTATTTTTTTGGTGCCGCATCAATTATTTATAGTATATGTCAGGGATAGTAATTAAAAACCTGGGTTGTTGAAGATCCAATGTTCAGCTTGTTCAGCTTTTTATGCTCAGTGGTGTAGGCAAATCATATGGAAGCAAATTTTTTAATAGAGAGTGGACATAACTAGGGAANTTTTTTTTTTTTTTTTTTTTTTTTTTTTAGCAACAGAGAATGACTTGCTAAATTATTAACTTTTTAGAGCACCTCTGTAAAAAGTGGGCTTCTGTCAGAAGATTAAGGGGATTTGGGTACTGCTTTGCCCAGGATTAGTGCTCAGYTGTCTTGTTTGTGTACCTGTGTACAGATAGAAAAGGTGGGGCAGCTGGTGACCAGTGGTTTTTGTGTGCATGCAGTCTCTTTGGGCGCTTTAACCTTTAGTCTTAGATGCCTGCTTCTGAAGTACAGGTGAATTATTGTCCCTCTGCTCAACTTGCTGGCTGCTCCACTGCACTTTTGTGCCTTGTCCTCTAGCACTCAATTGGTCTTGTCCTTGCTGAGATTTCTCATGTCTGCTAAGTATTAATACTTTTTTTCATAAAARTTTTTTTTTTAATAAAAGTGTCTTTTTATCATGTTAAGAATCCCTTCAGCCTGCTTCCTCAGAGTTTCATGCGTTTTGTAAACTTAGTGTAATAACTTGATCAGTTTCATTGCTGCTTTCCTAGTTCTGGAAAAGAGAGAAAAGTGTTGTAATTTATGGAATATGGACTGGAAGAGGTCTCCTGAGATGAGATATTGACCTGCAATGTACAATTCTGATAATAGACTGTTGCCAGGGATCAAAAGYGAAGCATGTGTGGGTTTATGTCTTAATGTAAGAGAGCTTACTAAGACAGTGGCATGGGATTTGTGCTTTGAGACTRCTGTTTATCCAGTGCCTGGTACAATACAGTACAACTGGAATTAATGACAGAGAATGTAGCTATTACTGTGTTACTGTGAATGGCTGTGTACATTCATTWTACACTATATATCTTTTAATTGAAGCACTTCAATTACTAGGCTGGTTTTAATTCCACAATTTTTTCATTTGCTCACTAGGATCTCCAATTTTATGTAGTGCATAATTGTTCTTACTATAAGAAGACTATGTTTTTTGGCTTTTGCACTTTTGGTTTTCGTTAGCTGTACTGCAATGACTTTGCACACAAAACAGCTTTGTTTTAGGAGATAACATAATCATCAAGGATAGCTTCATTTTGTATGGTTATAACCTGTTYGCAGGTTTCTTCTTGATTGTCTTGGTTTAGTCTTCATTTAATTTTAGTTGCTGGACTCTCACCACTGAATTACAGAGTTATTGCATTAAAAAATTTGAACATAGGTTCTTACCTTGAGTTTCTGTTTTTATTAACTATGAACCCAGCTGTGTATAGAAGTGGGGACATACAATCACACAATTTCATMATTTCCAATTAAGTTATAGATAAACCTTGGAATAGAAGAATGATATAGCAGCAGCCCTTGAAGCCACAAGTAGATATAATTTTATGTTAATTCTACTTTGCAGTATCTCTGTCTGAAAGTGTGAACAACTCTCTGCTGGTACTCCATAGAGAAATATGCTCCTTCTTTTTATATTATATATTTTACATGTTTTCATTTTCAACTAGCACTGGTACAATGATGAAAGATAAGGTTGTGCAATATGTTTGTTGCAAGGGAAGCCAAAGCAGCATTACAGATATCACTAATCCCCTCCTTCCCCACCCCCCATCTTTTTTTTTAAAGCCTTCTGTGTGATTGTTCATGCGTTGTCTGCCAATCTTGATCTTTTGCAAAGTACATATAGCCAGATACCATTAAAGTCTAAGATGATGCCAAGATTGATCTTGCTGTGGGCTCTCTCACTTTAGATTGTGAAATGTGTCTAACAGCAGTGTCATGTTACCGAAGATATTTGTTGAGCAGGTTATTATGATGAATTGTTTTAAGGTACTTGGCAACCAATTTTATTTTAATTAAAATGATAAGAAAAAAATCCCATCTTTTAAAATCAATTCTTTAAAATGTTCTTTGAAATGGTACTTTCTTTAAACATRTAGAATCTATGATAACTGTCACTGGTCTGGATACTGATGATAGCATATATGAGGGCAGAGTGGCTTGGAGGTGTCTGCTCAACTGAGAATTGGTAGAGTCATGCATGGTTTGCAATGGAAAGGTCTCTTGAGAGTTAAAAATGAGCCAAAGAGCCAATGCCACCAAATTTGTCAGACAYGATTTKCCCTTAGCGAAGCCATGTTGGTCTCCTATTTTTCTGTGTCTTAAGATAGTTTCCAGGAGCTTCTGCTCCGTGATCTTGGTGGGCAGAGAAGTGAGACTGATRGGTTTGTAATTGCCCAGGTCTTCCTTATTTTCCTTTTTAAAAAATGGGCTTATGTTCCTCTTTTTCCAACATCACCASACTGCTGTGACTTCTGAAATATGATGGATCATGGCTTATGCACATCCTCCACCAATTCTTTCAGGAGCTGTAGCTGCATCTCATCAGGTCCCATGGACCTGTGCACCTTTAGGCTCCTTAGAGGGCCTCAAACCTGGTGTTCTCCTACCTTGAGCAATGGTTCTTCCTTCTTCCAGTCCCTGCATTTGGCTTTCTTGACTTGGATGGTGTGAATGGAGCAGTTGTCAGTGAAAACGGAGGCAGAAAATGTCCTTGACTTCCTCAGCCTTCTCCATGTCTTGGGTAACCGTGTCTCCCTTTTTCTTCTGGAGAGGGCCCACATTTTCCCTAGTCTTTTGAGTCTGCCCAGGAGTTCCTTGTTTATCTATGCAGGTTAAGAGGGGTTTTTTTTTGTTTTGTTTTGTTTTTTTTTTTTTTTTTTTTTTTTTTTTTTTTTTTTTTTTTTTTTTTTTTTTTTTTTTTTTTTTTTTACCTGATTTCCTCTTTGTTAGGATGCATCATTCCTGAGCTTGGAGGAGGTGATCCTGGAATATTCACCAGTTTTCTTGGGCCCCTCTTCCATTCAGGTTTTTATCCCATGGTACTCTACTGAGCAGATCCCTAAAATTACTTGAATAGAAGTCAAGTCAAGCAGCTTCAGTAGTTTGTCTGTCTTTTTTATATTTGATTTTTCTTAAACAAATTTTATTTGAAACCAGTAGTTGATTAACCTGTCAGTCCCAAGCGTCACTGAAGGAGCACAAGGGATATGTTTTGCCATAGGTGACTTTTCTAATTTCCCATGTCTCCCTCAGTCCATGCTGGAGCTTATGGAATTGGTATTGGTTTTACTTCCATTTTTGTCTCCAAGTCTTCCTTTGTGCCTGTGAATGAATTTGTTTGCTTTGCCAACTCACTTTTTGTCAATCAAAGACCTAAACARCTTCTCTTCTTTTACAGGGAATGCAAAGGGCAACCAATGTTACCTACCAAGCTCATCATGTCAGCAGAAATAAGAGAGGCCAAGTGGTAGGAACAAGGAGTGGTTTTCGTGGATGCACAGTCTGGTTAACAGGTACAGCCATGGATTTCTGAGGGTCCTTGTGTTTTACTTACTCTTTTGAAAAGCGACATAGCTGTGGCTCGTTTTTGTGTGCAAAGTTGAATGTTTGTGAATCTAAGACCTAGATGGAATTTTATTACTATTTTTAGGTAGACTAGCAGGAAATTGCTTTGGGACAGATAGTAACTTGAGAATGTATTTTGTTCAGTACTCCAAGAGGGTTGTTTATTTGGTACTTTCGGCTGTCTAATTCTGGTTGAGTTTTGGAGTGTACAGGGCTTTTTGTTCTCTTTGCGTGTGTGTTGCCTTTTTAAAAATTTCCCTTTTGTTTTAACCCATTCTGACTCTTTGTACTGTCCATTTTGTCTATTTAGAAATGAATTATAACTTTTTTTTTGTGAGAGTCTGTGTTTCTGAATCTTTTCTGTAAAATCCTCTTCTCTTTGGATTTGTTCTCGTCTTCTTGGTTTGAAATAACATTTCAGCACAAACCTGTGCCTTTGGAMAGAGCTTGCATGTTGAGGCAGTGCATACTGGGAGTTATTTTTGAAATCAGCTCTGTGGGTTTTGGGTTCTTTTTTTGTAACTAGAGGAGGTTTAAACATTCTGGAAGATATTGTTTCACAACAGTGAGGGACTTTTTTCCTTCTGTCTTTCAAAGTTTTGGGAAGCTTTTTGGAAGCTTTCCTTGAAAGTTTATTTTTTTGTTAAAACTGATAATAAAAAATATGGCAAAATATGTAATTTRATTGGTTTGTAAACCATTTAGAACACTGCGACACATAAGATTTTCATAGAGTATTAGAGAAAATTACTACATTGAGTAAAACTGGTTTCCACCAGTGTTAGTAAACGTGTGTGCAATATAAAGCAGTCGTTGATAACAAACTGCTGAAAGCCACTCCAAACAGATTTGATACAGTGGCCTGCTGTCATGTATTTCTTTAAGAAAAGAATGGAGCCCTTTTTCTCCCTGTTTACATCACATAACTCCAGCCTCGCTCTCAATGCTTGAATGATCTGGTGGGCTGCCTTTCTGTTTCTACTGGTAATTCATTAATCTAATATTGAAAAAAGTCATGATAAAAATGTTTTCTCARTTATCTACATGGAACATTTTCCAGTCAATGTTCTTTCTAAATAAGTGTAATCTTAATGCTCAGTTTCCTTTTTTCATGAAGGAGGGTGGTGGTAAGATATCAAGAATGTGTGTGGGAAGTTGGTTATTGAAGATGTTTGAGCAGTAATGTGAAAGAGGTGAAAAGGACTGTAGGCATTAAGCAAGCAATATTAACCATTCTAGAACTGTGGAAACATGAGTTTCAAAATTCTGATAGATACTAGAATAAAAGCTGAAATATTGGTACACTGCAAGTTTCTCTCACTTTGTCAGCACACATGGAGTGGGAGTGTATGGAAAGATATTTCAGGSATCACTTTTCATTTTTCAAGGTAACCTTTGTTTGAGAGGTCTGTTTTAACGAGTGTTGAATCAGAGGGTCCTAGTAAAGAAAACTGTGGAATGTAGCAAAAATACAGAAAACATTGCTTTCATGTGTAAAATAATACGCAATTTTGAGAATGTGAGTTATGTTAAAGACTTGTCAACTCCAYGGCAGTTTTTAAATTCATTAATGTATGTAATGACATGTTAGACACCAAATGATGTGTGAAAATCTAGTGTGTTTGAGCAAATAGCAAGCTAGATGTGGGGACGGAAATGGCAAGTCAAAAACTGCATCAATGAGAAGTAAATGATGAAGTTGCTGAAATCTTAGTTTGGACTGTCATGCCTATTTTCTGTCATGGGGGTGTACTTCATTGCTGCCAAAAGAACACTGTTCTGTTTCCTGCCTTGTGTTCCTTCTCTTGCCTTGCACATGCTGTACTGCTTGCCCAGCTCAACACTGAGCTGATTCAGCTTGGGAAATCTGACCACAGCCTCCACACACACACATACAAAAGGGAGAAAAAGTAAAAGGGAAAAAGAAAACCATAGGGAGTGGGGGGAGGCGAGTTGGCTAATAGGCACCAGAGGCAGCAGTGCAATTACTCCTTTTATTTAAGTTACCCTTAACACCCTAAGCTATCAAGGTTTCCTTTGCACTTTGTGTTTTCTTAGGATGTGCATCTGAGCATGATTGCAATCCTTTGCCATTAATGGCTTGGAAGCAATACCAGGCTGTTGTCTTGTGTGATCTTTTTTTTTTTTTTAAGTTAGAATGAATCTTAATCACCACTAATAAAACCATTTTTCTTCACCCAGGAGTGYTACTTTTTTATACTACCATTACCCCTTTCTTTCTCTCACTCAAAATGTAAATGTCATGAAATCTGAGTTTSTGTTCCATTTGCAAATTGACTTCTTGGTATAAGCAGAAGCATGTGCTCCAGATAATTTGAAATCTAGTCTGGAAAAAATTATATTTAAATGAATTTCCWAATTAAAGTGAAAGGTGGAATTTTTAGGGCCAGCAAGTCTTCTGAATTGTTTAAAGGTTTGTTGTCAAAGATTCTGAATTAGACCATAGTTTGCCAGTATGATTTTCTCTTGTTGCTAACACATGCCAGTTATTGGAGCATCACTGCTGTAAGTTTTGAGTGGGCMAGGCTGTTTTTTTCCAGTGGTGTCTAATTCAGTGCTGTTATTCTGCAAGGAGTCAGAACAGAGTATGGGTTTGGCCTGATCTCATTTCTTTTGTTAACTGAAATTCACTTCAGTGTGAGATCTTCCTCTTCTCATATAACATCTTAACTGTGTTTGGTTTCTGAATTTAGTTTGCTCAGGTAGTAACAATTGCCAGCAGCAGCAGAAGGGAAAGTGTATCACTGCTTAAGCAGCAGCAGCAGAGCTCAAGGCCAAAGTCTTACCTGCTTCAAATTGCACACTTAGGCCTTACTCTCTCATTGCCTATTGTCTGTGTGAAAGTCTCTTGGCTTACATTCCAAGTAAGCCTATCCAAAAGGCATTGCTGCTTATGCTGTCACTTTGGGATTTTCATAATACACGAGCACTAGAACTTGCCTTAACTATTTTCTATGCTTATATATTTATTATTGAATATTTTAGGTTTATCTGGTGCTGGGAAGACTACAGTGAGCATGGCACTGGAGGAGTATTTAGTATGCCATGGTATTCCATGCTACACATTGGATGGTGACAATATTCGCCAAGGCCTTAATAAGAATCTGGGTTTCACACCAGAAGATAGAGAAGAAAATGTCCGTCGTATTGCTGAAGTTGCTAAATTGTTTGCAGATGCTGGYTTGGTGTGCATTACTAGTTTCATCTCTCCTTATGCTCAGGTAAGTGTGAAAAACCTCTAGATGAAATGTAGGRAAAATACAAAATGCAAAATGTCACTCAGAACTAGTTACAGAAATTCCTTTCTGAACTTAGCCAGAATCAAATACTTACTTGTGTTTTTTTTGATGAAATTTGTGCTTTTAGAGATGATTACTCAAAACTGAAATATTAATCTTAAATGAAAAATGTTTACATTAGTTCTGTAATTGGAACTGTCCTTCAGTCTATTAGGCAGAATTATTACTCTAATACCATGAACAAGCTCAAATGATGCTCCAGGAAAGACTCTTAAAATTGAAATGTTTGGCTTGATTGGTGTAGATTCCAGTACTTTTTAAATMTGAAGATTCAGTAAAYGYTTAACTTGAAGAATCAGTTAAATTRTTTTTAAAAGCAATTTTTCCTTTAGTGATTGAAGAGTGAGAGCTTTATTTGTATCAAGTTGCTTAAGGGTAAAGTGTTTTAATTACCTGTAGGTTTTTTTAACTTTATTTTGTGTTTGGTATACAACATGACATTGTATAATAATGAAAATTAACATAAATCCATTTTCACATTGTTTTGTGGAGACTGTTTTTATCCATGCCTGAGAAACTGGAAGGGAGAGACAAAAAGGATGTGTGAGCACCCAAGTATCTTGAAGAATGACCCAGGGACTTTAAGCTTAGATGTTTCACAGCACRAGAAATGTGTTATTTCTTCAGTTAYAGTAATAATAACTTGGGGAACTCAAATCCTACAGTAAAACAGAAGTTTCTAGGTAKGAGGAAAATAACTAATAAAATAAATAGTATTTAGTAAGAGATGATTTTAGTGGATTTTGGAAGGCTTTTGTTTTTTTTCTCCGAATGAAAGTCACCAATATTGTTCCGATGCTTGGAAAGCCGTAAAAATAATACATTATTTTAAGTGCACAAGTCTTGTCAGACTAAGGAATATAGGGAAAACTGGTGCTCAGAAGAGAAGGGTATTTATATCATGACCAGCAGGTAACAACTCTTTCTGGCTGTACTCAGCTAGGCAGATATRATTCCTCAGATATATATGTATAGGCATAGAGAATTTTGCACTCTGTTGGCTGGGTTTGGTTTTGTTTCTTTCTTATAAATCAAGATAATCAAATTATCTCACATCTTCCTGACAGCTTTTACTATGTAATGTACTGTAGCCAAAGTGATGCAGCTTGCAGGACATCAATTAATAAATCACTTTTATTTTTTCAAACTTTGAAAGCTTTTTTACATTTTGCTGTCAGTTTCTTTAAAATGAACTTCAAAAGCAAAAAACAGTAATAATATGTCAGTTCAACCTTTTAGGATTTTTCTTCTGTTTTCTTTCAGGATCGTAATAATGCCAGACGAATTCATGAAGGGGCAAGTTTGCCTTTTTTTGAAGTATTTGTGGATGCTCCATTGCATGTCTGTGAGCAGAGAGATGTTAAAGGACTCTACAAGAAAGCCAGGGCTGGAGAAATTAAAGGTGAAGCTAGATGTAATCACATCCTTTCTAAATCAGTGAAACATTGGTGTAATTTGACTCCATGTTAGCAAATGTGCTCAAGTCTGAGAGTACCACCCATAAAAAAGAGCATAGATTTGGAACAGGACTGAGAAATGAATTGGAATTGACTTCTAACTCATGGAACTSACTAGTTAAGTGTGTAGGACAGTAAAAGGACAAAAATGGCTAACSTCACACAGAAAAAAACTTGAGCACATTAGAAACCACGTAATGATTGAGGATTAATCTCTATCTATTGAGTAGTTTAAAAAGAGCTTGATTCTTTCTAAATTCTTTGAAGAACTGCATTAATAAAAGTTACTAGTTTCTTCCAAAAAGTAAARCATGACCACTGTCTCCCTGTAGAAACTGTTATGAACACTTCTGAAGATAATAACTTTTAAATCATTGTTCTATTCTAGTGTCCATGAAAATTATTTCATATTCCCAGACACAGGTTAAGATTTAACTATAGCCTGCAATAAAAAAGCTTAGCTCTGCAATCATTAATTGCAAGTATTGTTTCAAGTGCTGCTTTGCTCTGTTAGATTATTGTTTGCAGAGGCTGATGCTTTGTAGCTCTGTATTTAGTAGCAAAGCAGTTTTTAAAGTAATCACTTTTGGGGGTTGAGTTTGCAGATGCTGTATGAATTCACTGTTAACCAAAAGTAATATAAAATTGAACCAGTAAGACATTCAATATGAGTGGTTGCTTGATACTTCTAGTACTACAGAATGTACCATGTGAACACCAGGAATAAATAAAGCTGAGCTMAGATTTGTTCAAAATCAAAGCAAGATGGCTTGAGCAGACATGATACAAAGATACAGTTCTGTACAGAATCCTTATTTGTGTCGTAGAACATCACTATTAGGTTATTTTACAAGCCCCGTAATGGAATTGTGTTCCTGTAGAAGACGTGAAGAAAACAGTGCCTGAGCCTTACAAGTGGGTGTAGCAGTGGCTGTATGATATGACCTATCTGATTCCTGAAGGATAAAAATTAAACAAACTTGCCAGTTCACAAGGAATATCAGCACCTCTTATCTTCCTTTTCTCTGGCAGTGATAATAGGACACTTTATTTGCCTCCTGTTCCCACTCATCCAGTAATCAGATCCTTCTAAAGTTTTGGAAAAGATCCAGCCTTTTTATCATATGGGGTACTGCATGAATTGATGTTTTTCTTAGATGAGGAACTAAACTCATTTTGAGGGTATTTAAATCTGAAGTGGAAAGTAGGCATTCTAATGTTCATATTTGCACATGTGGAGGATGCAGATATTCTGTTGTAGCCCAGCTGATATTCCTGATCCTGCAGATCTGACTTGTAGTGCTTATACTCTGCCTTTGGGCTTGATTTTTTTTCTCCTTTTTTATGCATGGGTGGTTGGAATTTCTGTGATTTAAAAGCAGATTGCAAACTAAGTAGGCCAGAGCAACTGTCGCTGGTAGCTTGCACAGTCTGTGACAGCTGTTATAACTGTAATAAACACACTCATCACTCTTACATTAGCAGCTATCTTGAGATGAATATATTAGCTAAACTAACGTAATAGGTGTTAAAATTCCTTACTTCAGAGTACTGGTCTTGGTAATATGAGTGTAAATTTACATATATACTGGCTGTTCATAATATATTTTCATATTTTATTTTTTGTTTTAAAGAGCAACAATAGCTGATAATAAAGGACAGTGGTTGGATGACTGACTCTGAGTTGATGTGCACATTTCCTCTGCCGGTGCTCTTTTCTTTATTCACAGTAAAAATCTAATAGCTTCACCAACAAAAAARTGCTATGTATATACTGTGGAATGCTGAAGTTTGAGGCAGTCAGTTAGTACAATTAGCAAAGAGTCTGATAAAGAAAAAACCTGCTGATTTCCCTAAGAAATCCTGTATTAAGGAAGCTAAAGCTCCGTGTTCTTGCCTGTTGTATTGGTTTATATATAGAACGTGTAAATGTGAACTGCGTTAAAATGGAGTAATCTTTTGGAAGGAGTCACCTAATATTTTTGTCTTACGTTCTGTAGGTTTTACTGGGATTGACTCTGAGTATGAAAAACCAGAAGCCCCAGAACTTGTGCTGAAAACTGATTCCTGTGATGTGAATGATTGTATACAACAAGTTGTAGAACTTCTTCAAGAGAGAGTAAGCAGAAATGAAGACATGTATTAGTAACATTTTCAAAGTATTTGTACCTGAATCTGAATCTATGTGCTGTGAAAAAGAAAGACATTTTTTGAGAGTTAAAGGCTTATGCATCTTTCAGTTCAAACTAGTCTTATTGTGTGTTTTCTTTTAAACCTAAACATTGCACAACATTGTTCTCCAAKTGAAGTAAGATTTGGACAAGTGGAAAATTAATTGATATCAAGGAGAGAGAGGGCAGGGAAGAGATATATATACCGGAAGGGAGAGAAGGCTGTCTCAATTGTTATGGAACGAACAGTGAATGCTGACTCATTAAAATTGGTTGCTAGCATTTTTGAGTCTGAATTTTTTTACGTTGTCTCCATAGTGTACAAATTATACTGCAGATATGAAGAGACAGGGGTGCACTTATACAGTGATTTGATCTCACTTAAATAGGGGCTGCTGTGCTTGTGTCTGCTTTCCTTTGTTTCCACTGTTTTTCTTGCACTAGTAAAAGTGGTCCTGCAATTGTTTAATGACTGGTTCAGGAAGCTGATCTTCTTGACATGGCTGAGTTGAGTTTATGGTTCATAGCTTCTGAAAAGGTAGGTCTCTTTCCTTGTTCATGCYTGCAATCTACACCATCCCTTTTGAAGTCTCCGGGTCTTCTCTTGTTGCCTGATAAGTGGATTCGGTTCACTACCCAACCTAAAAAAAACACTCCCAGCGAACCCCACATGGAAAACAAACAGACAAAAAACCTYCCAACTCAACACTAAAAGTGAAGGSAGCCRAACAATGGCTTTATCCTCTWGAAACCATACCCCCAGAATTTACTAATCCTCATGTACAAGAAATGTACTTCCTTACATTTTTTTCTATAGTCAGTGGGTAGTGGATGACATTCCAGACAACTATTTTTTTTAATTGAGATACTCTTTCAGACAATTACTCATGATTTTTTATGTGAGTTGGTTGCACTGGAAATTTAGGTTATAAACATAACTATAATTTAGTTTGAGCAAAGCTCCACCAAGTGTTGAAGTTAAAACAAGCAAAAGACCTCATCATGTAGCCTTCAAGGAGTTTATTTTAACTCTCTGTGTAAGTACAACTCTGGAGAGATTTAGTCTCTTGTATTGACATTTTAAGGAAAACACCTCATGGATGACTGGTTGCTCAGGGTTGCTTAGGAGATAAGATAGGGCAGAAAACTATAAGTTAATTCTAGATTTTGAATCCCCATCTGAATATTTTTTTGAAAGAAAAAARGAGAGCTGTGTAGGAGTCCTACCTATGGGAGGTGTCAGTTCCTGACTGTGAGGTCCCTATGTCTTCTGCTCAGAACTATTCAGTGTGTTTCATAGTTGTAGAAACCAGTGYCACATGTGCCAAAATAGTGATCCCTCAAGTCGTGCATTGGTACACAGTACTGACTGTTGGCTCTTAGCACAGTCACCTTTGTTTAAGGCACATTTAGCACTTTTTTCCTTTCTTTAAAGGTAAAAGTATCATGAATGGCAAGATATTTTAGTGAYTGCTTATCTCAATGAAATCAAGACAAGGCACATCATGTCCTTAGACCATATTAATGCAGTGCTACCTTGAGAAGATAATTCCTGTAGATTTCCTGTAGTTTGAACAAGAGGGTTTATAAGAAGGCTGAAGAAGGACTTTTTATAAGGGTATTTAGGAATAGGACAAGGCTTTAAGCTGACAGAAGGTAGTTTAGAATAGATATTAGGAAGAAATTAATTCCTTTGAGCCTGGTGAAACACTGGAGCAAGTTGCCCAGAGAAGCTTGTATGCCTCATCCCTGGAGGTGTTGAAGGCCAAGTTGGATGGGGCTCTGATCAACCTGGTCCTGTGGAAGGTGACCCTGCCCGTGGCAAGGGGTTGGTACTAGGTGATCCTTAAGGTTCCTGCCAACCCCAACCATTCTGTGCTTCTATGATTCTATGAAATAAATTGTTCAGCACTCTAAAAACATTTGTCAGCATTATGAAAACATGTGCCTGGGCTGCAGAGAATACTATCTGCATACTCTACTCTGAATAATAAGAACATAGCCAGMAGCTTGAGAGAAGCAATTCTGCAATTTTATGTTGCATTTGTAAGACTGTATCTGGATRCTTTGTCCAGGTTTGTGCCCTTCTTCACCCAGAGGAAAACAGACATTGATGTGCTTCTGTGAGTTGAGTCTGTGAGTCACCAATATGGTCAGAGGCTGCAGTATGTCACTGCACATGCACAGGGAGACGCTGAGGGGAGGTGGAGAAGAGAAGGCTAGAGTTCTTGTTGCTCTGTCATCCAAATGGGAGGTTATAGGGAAGACTGGTGAACTCTTTTCTTAGAGTTGCACAAGGGTAGGATGAAGGGCAGCAGACATGAGATGAAATTACAGGAGTTTAAAACATAGGGGGAAAAAACATTTTCTCTATAAGGATGATCAATTATTAGAATACGATGAGTGTTAGTGGATGCTCTCCCCTTAGAGATATTAAATGCTTGGTTGGCCAAGGTCCGGAGCAGCCTGCTGTAGTGGGACCAGTTTTGAGCAGGAGGCTGAACTAGATGATCTCCAGAGGCAATCAGCATCAGCAAAGAGCCCACTACCCCAGTGTGAGGAGGCACATTCCCATAGAGCATCTGTTTTATTATTTGGCCATTTTTATATGAATGCACTGAGAAATAAGAAATATTGAGGAATATTCTGTAGCTTGTCCTTTGGTAGAATTAAGCTTTTGAGTAATATTGATGCCTTCAAATGGTCACTAGATGGCTTGCTAGCCTAACATTTTCCTAATTCCTAAAATTCATGCATTTTAAAGATGCATTAATTCCTTTTGTTGATGGTTTTGTTGTTTTGTTGTTGGTTATTTTTTAATCTAAGTTGTTGTTTTAAGTACCACTTTCATGTGTGCAAATGAGTCTAGGTTTACTAATACTGTGAGTTCTCTAAATGTCAGACTCAATATTTCTAGACCTGGCTTCSAGCTGTTTACATTTGTATCATGAAGTAGGTTGTTGAGAGAAACTGCACTGTGAAACCTTTGTTTTGCCTGTTAGTGGGACACTAAAACCAGGATAACACTTGAAGAGGTCTCTTTAATAGGCATGTTTATTTTAAGCTATTATTGGTTCATAAAATTAGGACATCCTAGTCTGGTAATGAGCTAGGGTCCAGAGGGAAATCTTCTGTGAAGCAGCATAATGTGCACACCATCATTATAGTGTTCCTTACAGGAGGCAATATCTGCATTTGATTCTGGGCTTGTTGCTGTGGCAGGAGTSTGCTGCTGCTCTCCTGGGCTGTACTGCTGCTGCTCAGGCAGAGAAAACAAAAGGCAGGTTTTGCTCAACTTAGGATGTAATAAAAGCTTCCAAAACAATGCCTGATATGTAATGGACCAAGCTTTTCCTTAAAAACACCGTTTCTAAATGCTAGTTTAATTTGTCTTCTTTTGATGTGTCGTTCAGGTAATAAATTATGCAACAGCCAGTGACACTCATCACATCTTTTTACTCCCATAGTCATTTTATCTTTCACTTGTCAGCATTCTGCTGCCTTTATTTCACTTTCCATGGAGGTAGTGCCTAAGGTCTAAAAAATGCATTAAAATTCCTGAGCTAACTTGGTGTTCTCTACAAGCATACCTATTTATTCTGGCCTACATATACTGGAAAAGTAAAGATAATTTATTTATTGTTGTGATTCTGTGTATACTTTGCTGTAAGGGTGAGCTTTTTTTCTCAAAAAGTAAAGCACTACTTTACAAAGGTTTCTCAAACACTAAAAGATGTGTTATAAAAAGAACAGTCAGCCTCTTTTCACTGATTTTTTGCTACTGAACATCCCTGTAACATTTGACTGAATTTTGACATATTACACCTGACATATTACACCATTTTTTGTTGGAGGAGATTCTGCAGTTTTATCATGATGACCTCCTCTATTTTTTTTAATTATATTTTTATTTTTGTGTTGATATCTTCTAAAAAGTTTAAGGTCTTGAGTTTTGAGCATTGTGGAGTGAGAATATCTTTTTTAATACACATGTAGGAAAACGGCATTTTTTTTAAAATAAAAAATTGATGTTGGTTATAGAGCTAGATTTCAGTTCATTGCATATATATCCGCAAATGTCATAGATTATATCACATTTAAATATTCTAAGAGTGTATAGATGAAAATACTGGTGTTAGGTCATTAGCTGTAGGAAATACATTTAATTTGTACTTCTGTATAACTTTTCGGTAGAGAATGAGCTTTTATTTTAACCTTCATGTTATCATTTCTTGCGTATCTTGTATAGTGAATGACTTAAATTTATAAATGATCAGTCTCTAAATATTTTTATACTGCTTCAGCATGTGTAAAAGCATAGAGTCTTCATTTCTGCTGTAAATAACGTAGGCATTAATAAGTCATAAAAACTTCAGTCTATTCAGTAGTTAAATATTTACTAGTAAATGTAATATGGGTTACTTTAGGTCTAGAAAAAATCTCTTGTTAGAATGCTTCACTTGAGGCAATCTGCTGGTTTGAGTAACTAGCAATATGTCATGATCTTGCAACAGTGCTGGCTTTTAAATGAGTAAAAATTGCATAATGAATAAACTCTTGCTACTGTGTAGTGCAACATTAGAATTTTACTTCTTGATGTGTGTTCTATGCCCAAGAGGCATTCTGAGCAAACATTAACTTCTGTTTATTCATTTTATACAGGACATTGTACCAGTGGATGCTTCTTATGAGGTGAAAGAACTTTATGTGCCAGAAAACAAACTACAGTTGGCCAAAACTGATGCGGAGTCTCTGTTAACCTTGGAAATAAATAAGGTATTGTGCGTTCAGGAGTCTCATTGCTGAAACTGAAAGACAGTCTGATCCGTTGCTTAGTGTAAGTAAACGTAGTTGAAATACCTGTACTGGTTACAGAATACAGCTTGATATGCTGTCTCCCTCTTTCCTTGAGAGAAAGCACAGCATCTGTGTTTTCTTTGTTTGCTTACCAGAGATAATTGACTCTTCATAATTTCATGAATAGTGTCTGGTATAGTTTTACTTAGTTTATCCCTAGCTTGGAGATTAAATTTACAGTGATTTCCTCCCACAGTCCCTCCACATCCATGGATTAAACCATGCCTGGAATGTCTTGTATGAGAATTTTTTTTTTAGTTGACTTACAGAAAACATTTTATTTTGAATTGTAATTGCCTAGAAATATGGGGGAAATCGGTTACTACTTCTTGATTCTTCTTGTTTGTAAACTTCATCTGAACAACAGTAAACTTTTATATAGATACACCAAGCTCAAGCAGTTGCAAAGATATGATCAGATCTACTTTGTTTCTTTGTTTTCTGATAACAGCATACTCGTACTACTTTTCTGGTTTCCAGCAGAGACAATGTGGAAAAACCTGGATCAGCATGATTAATCCTGTTCTTATTTTGGTTAAATGCATTGTTTTTCAACTCAGATCAATTAGATAAGGCTGCTTCTGTCTGTGTTTCTGTTCTACTTCATTCATTTTTCTGAAGAACTAAGCCTAAACACAGATACAATGCATGAGTTTTTTTCAGTGGCTTTTTTACACTATTACTAGAACTTAAAGCTATGCATWTGATCTAGGAGCTGACTAAGCTCCCAGTTCAGCATCTGTGATGAGTAGACTTTGAAGGATTGGGGTGACTAAATTAAATAGTTTCAAAATTTGCCTGATCTTCTACTAGCAATGAATATTAATACTTTCTTTCACCACTTTTAACTAATTCCTTTTCACGTATGKCTGTATAAAGCTATTCATTGCTTTGTTGAGGAGTACTTAAAGTTCATCATTATTAAATTGCTGTAATGTTCCATTCTAAATTGCTCCCTRYCTAGAGAAACAAATMATTTYTTCCTCYACCCCCAWCCAGTGGCTTGTTAAATAYCAAACAAGTATATARTGTAAGCTTGGGAAGAAACTGTGTWTTGTACTTGCCTCAGTATAAATKAAACAGTAAAATAAAAATTAGTCATGCTCTTTGCACAAGAGACACTTGCACGAGCAAAGCCTGTCCTTGTCAAAAACAACCTAGTCTTAGTAATGCACACACAGAAGTAACAGAGGCCACACACCAAGTCACAGTGTGACTGAGTGCTAAGGAAGGAAATTCTGTGTAAACTGATATCTCATACCAAAATAAGTAGTAGTCCAGAGAGAATTTTACTTCTGGATTGTCTCACTAGCTGATAAAAGAAAAAAGATTTCTCATTTGTTTTAAGATTAGAACTCTCAATATTTACACCGATAATTCTGGTATTTTTTSTGGTATTTGTGTGTGTTATTCTGTTGTTTTTTCTTTTATTTTCTTTTTAACATCTTGGTTATCTTGTTTTGTTAAATAAAGGTAAATGGGATTCTCTAATTTTGTTAAGATGAACTTTATCAAGATTTGCAAATAAAGTTTGTTGTGTGTTTGTTGTTTTGGCTCTTTTAACACATGGAAATTTGATCCAGTGTAAAAACTGGAAAATAGCCAAAAATATGAAGTGTGAAACAAGTTGTTCTTTTTTCCTTACTTGTAGAAACTTTGAATTATTTGTGATTGAAACAGTAGTATTAAGAAATTTTCCATTTATACTGTCCTGCATTTTAGAATTAAATCATGATCTACTGTGATTAAAACTTGATGCCGGTAGTTAAGCAGCAGCTTTTATCTGCTCTAAGTCTATTTCTTCATTTYTTTACAAGGTGGATATGCAGTGGGTACAAGTGCTAGCAGAAGGTTGGGCAACACCCCTGAATGGCTTTATGAGAGAGAGAGAATACCTCCAGTGCCTTCACTTTGACTGTCTCCTTGATGGTAGGGTAAAACACACCATTTGTAAAACTGAGCAAACTAATCCTACTTCTAAAATATTTTTGACGCTTTGCTTCTTAGTGGTGGTGTGGTAACACATCAGGCTTGTGCACAACTTGAGTCTGTGATAAGAGAATAGAATATTATAATAGCCAATTTTAAACTTGAGTTTATTCTTTTGATACCTACCATCATATTAGGATTTGAATATTTTGTCTTTTTGCCTTTACAAATTCTATCTTTTTCAAATGTTGTAATTTTTGAAAAAAAGTTTAATTCTAAAATGCACACTTCTAATTTGTTTTGAAGAAATTGATTTTAGATTTTGGAATTGCAATTATATGCTGCTTAGCTCTATGTACCAAAAGATTTGCTCCGTATTAGTAATGAAGGAAAAGATGACAAACTAAYGGGTGCTGGAGCTGTTGCAAGTGTGAAATCAGAATTTGAGTATGTGGCTTGAGTATGAACTATTGTCTCATGTAATTGAATTACCATGAATTAGTAATTATCCTGTGATGATTTAAATGAATATCACTTAGTTAAGGTAGTGAATAAGTCATAGCATCCTCAGATTTTGGAGAAACTGGTTGTGATCCTCTGTCAGTTTTCATTTATTCTTCTTTGAAGACTCTGTTTTACTCCAGCCTTTTTCCCATCTCCACACTTCATTTTGCATTAGTCTTCTCTTGCAAGAGACCAAATAGCAGAACAAAAAGGAGTCTCTTGTCTTTCAGTCCTATGATACAGACATCTGTTGTCCTTCTTGTATTTCCTAATTCCGTTTTCTCTAAGTCTCTCGGGTGCTATCCTAGGTAGCATAATGCCATCCTGTTATTTTGGAGTATCTTAAATTTGCAGTATTATTTTGAATTGCTAGTTTTGTTTTCATTCCATTTGCCTTGTGTACATCCATCCAGGTGAAGAGTACTGTGCAGATGACAGACAATGCATTCAACTGCTAAAATAGCTTGTAGATCCTAGTTTTGTCCTGTACTTTTCATAAATTAGAATTTTTATAAGGTGTTTAAGACCTTATATAGGTGAGTCTTTCAGATATAACAATATAACAATTTTTAAAATTTCTTTTGCARTTGTTTTGAGTATCTCATCTATGCTACAAAAAATAAGAGTAATGAAAAATAACAACTTATTGATGGAAACAGTTTTTCAGTCCTAAGTTTGAACAAAGCAGTCATGTTCCCCTAGATTTCTTATTACTGATTTCCTCTTTGTAGATATCTATACAACACTCACATGTGAAAATATTTTTAGAAAAATATGATTGCCTTAAAGCTGCATTGCTACTTGCACCAATAGCAACAGTTAAGTCAAAACAACATCCTGAAATTTTCATCCTCGCTTAATATGCTAGTTCTGGATCTTACACCAGCAGTCATTTTGCAGGGCTTTGATTCTGAAGAAAGAATGGTTTATTATCTGCAGTGCATCTCATTCTTTGGGCTTTAAATGCAGTGTTCATACTGACTGACTTCTAAGCTATGGAGATCAGTGCAGGTGTGTTGATAATCTCCCTTTAAGGATTAAGTTGTCTTATCCTGACACTCATCTGTGATTTAACACACTTGCTTCACTACCTTGCCTCAGTTTATTTGTGCAGGGGCTGAAGAAAAATGTAGAAGATAGCATGGCCATGGATAAAATTCTAATAATCAGCAGGTTTGAGATCTCTTCATAGTTTGAAATATTTATTTGTTTGCAAAGCAAAATGGTTTTTAAAATTACCAATTTCAGGGTGTCAAACCACTCTCTGACTGCTACCAAACTCAATTTTATAAACTAGTTGCTTTGAAAATAACTCTGGGTCAAGACTGAACGTAGGAGATGCACAGCATGCATTATACATTTTGCATTATGAAAGAAGKGGGAATCTATTTTTCTCTTAAAATTTTCATCCAGCTTTATAATTTTTAATTTCCTAAGAAAATGAATTTCTTAATAAAAATTTATTGCTTAAATAATAGCAAAATTAGCCTTATTTTAGAGTCTTGGCAAATGCCAAAACCTTTATTGACTTTAAAGGGTCCATGACTTTTTTCCTGGAGGCCACCCAAAAGATCTGCACTGAAGCATATGCTTATTAGAATCCAAGCCTTTGTAGAAGACTTAGGATATTTACTCTGCTGGATTTTTCAAATCTCACTCTTGTAGTTAAGAAAAACAAGACTTCCAGCATCTGGCAGTGAAGTAGAGGCTTAAAAATTAGGACCACACATAACCTTAAAATTCAGCTACATTGGCTTAGTTTTAGAAGTAAAGTAGCTGGTAAACTTCCAGCTGAACAAACTGAGCAAAATGTTTGCATGACTCAGCAGTTTTTTTCTGGAAGGTAGRTGCTTGAATCTGAATACAGTTTAAGTAAACAACAAAAGTCACCTTTTGAAATAGTTGAATTATGTGTGTAAACTGCTTGGGTACTTTTGTCTGCTCCAATTGCATTGACCTTTTTCTTAGGGGCCAAAAGGATGTCTACTGAGAATCCTATTTCCTTTTTATTGATTATCCACTCTGATAGCAATCTTGCCTAATATTTTTAGGTGATCCATTTTAAGATGTTATTTGTGTATTTCTACTTTCTATATAGATTCTTCAGAAAGGTATTAATTTGAGATTCCCAAAAAGTAGTCTCGCAGTTTAAATATTTRTGTGCAGCTCTAAGTACTTGCTATTTTCAGTAATGTGTTCACTCTTTCTCAAACCTCAGTGTTTGCTCAATTTTATAGCACATGTATYTTATGGAAGCATGAGTTCATTCTAAAAGTTGCTTTAGTCCCTATTAAAAGAAGTCCTTCAAATACCTGTCATGTAAAACACTTGCAGCCTTAAAAGCAATCTGTTAATTAGGTAGATTTTCATAAGAACATTGATGACTGTTAGTAAGGATAAAGGACATTTTTTTCCCTTTGCAGGGGGAGTTATTAATCTGTCAGTGCCTATAGTGCTAACAGCTACTCAAGAAGACAAAGAAAGGCTCGATGGATGTACAGCAATTGCACTGGTGTATGAAGGTCGCCGCGTTGCCATTCTCCGTAATCCCGAATTCTACGAGCACAGGAAAGAGGAACGCTGTGCTAGGCAATGGGGAACGACATGCAAGGAACATCCCTACATCAAGGTGTGTGTTTAAAAGTTGAAAATCTAGTCCTATTCGCTGTGCTGTTATGGAGCTACAAATTAAGTGAAGTCCATGTCTGTGACTGATTTATTTTGTCAAAAAACTACTTTGAAACTAATTAAATTATCTGAGAAGAAACAAAGGTAATTTTTTTCTATGTGGCCATTGAATAGTCTGTACGTAGTGTGAAAATCTAATATCAATATGTACATATGAAAGGAATTATATGAAAGGAATTTAGAATATACTGTAGAATCTGTGCTACAGAAGAGGAAACCTTGCCCTCCAGTATGCCGTGGAAGCACATCCCTCTATGTCACCAGATGGATCATCAAAGCTCCTTAGTCAGTGGATATATGCATTGTGAAGGATAGAAAACTTCTTTTCTGCCTGCATGTGGAGCACGTGAGACCTGCCTGCTTTAGATGTTTTTGAAACTGGCCCTGTTCCTGGGRAGTTCATCATTTAACCCTCTGGGGAGTAATTTCCCATCTGCTGTGTTTGTTATATTATCTTGGCCTTGTRTATGTCATACTGAAATGTTCTAATTGTAACATACTCATCACAGTGCTGTGTTGGGTTATGCAACCTGATACAAATGTTGCATCTTAGCTCTGCAGAGCCAAAATATGTTTATTTCCCCATTTGTTTCTGTAGTGGTTTTTTTTTGTTTGAGGTATGTCTTAAAACTAGATAAAGAGAAATCAAACAAACCTCAAATTATGAGCTTGCTCTTGAAAAGGGAAAGCCTTTGAAGTATTGTACAAGTATCAGTATGACTGATACAAGATTTTCAAAGCCCTTGATGTGTTCTATGATGTTGAACATCAGATTGCCCCTTTATCAAAAGCTTAACATGGATTTAATGAATTCTAAGAAAATCTCATGCAGACAAAATTTGAAAGACTTCTTATGTAGAAGATGAGGAGCTATGTTCTTATGCCTGTACTGGGGTGTATAGTAGTAATATAAAAGCATGTGAATTTGGTGGCCCTTCTTAATTAATCAGAAATATCGGGGTACTCRAGAGTTTCTGTAGTGCGGCGGTTTCTCATCTTCGCATCATTATTACACTTTGCATCCATCTTGGTAATATGTCAAAGTCTGGCATTTTCTTCMGGAAGGGGGTGGTTACTGTGGCATGATTTAGTACCAGCAGGTCAAAGCAAAAATAAATTRAAAATTTCACACTTAATTTTCACATCTTGATTTTTGGGTTTARTATGTAGTGTCTTCTGTTATATTGACATTTGTTGTCTTCTCTAAATTGTATGAGGCTAAAAAAGTTATCAGAAATGTGTATGAAACCTGAAAGCATTTTATGATTTCATCTTTAAAAGAAAATGCAATCTTAGAAAATAAGAATTTCAGAGTATRACCATTTGTAGAGCACATTAAGCAGCTTGTCGTAATTATTTTTTGATAATGGGTGAGCTGATATTTAAAGATATAAAAAGAAGTGTAGTGACTGTCCAACATCTGTTACTTGGATAAACTGCTACCATGAAACAAATCCAAAAGATATTCTATYTCAAAGATTTTTATTTTATTCATAGATTAAAGTGAATGAGTAGTTCATCAGAACTGTTTTGTTTGTTACTTTATTGCTGACCAGAATCTTGTAAACTAGAGAGTGATACTGCAAAGGAATTTGCTTTGACCAATAATTATGAAGTGTGGAACTTCATTGTATTAATATATTGTAATTAAWTTTTTTAAATGTTCTAATTAAAATATGTATTAATGTGTACTATATAACTAAGTAAACTTTAATATACAAGGCTTTCCAGACAYTATCTTTGTCATGCAGTGTTGGTTAGAATATTGGCTATTTGCATTTCTATTATCTCAATTTAGAAAGAAAGGCATATGCCTACTGAAGGTTTGTGCATTTCTCTTACATCATGGTATGACACGTCTRGACTACGTTCCAGTGAAATTTTTTCATTTTTTTAACATTGATGCTTTCTTACGACTGCCAAATAAATTTAACTTGGAACACATTCCTTGGTGAAGGTGTGCCCCATTGCAATGCTCTAGATGCTGAGGAGAAGCTGATAACTAATCYTGACAGGGATTTTCCTTTCTTTTTCTTAGATGGTTATGGAACAAGGGAACTGGCTTGTAGGTGGAGATCTACAGGTCCTTGATCGTATTTATTGGAATGATGGACTTGATCAATACCGCCTTACTCCAGCTGAACTAAGGCAGAAATTCAAGGAAATGAATGCTGGTGAGTAAATTTTTCTTGCTTTCTTTCTTGCTGCAGAAGCTAATAGAAATGTCTGCTGCCACCACTTAGGCTGCATTGTTTCAAGGATGATTGCTTTGATAAACTTTGCATGCTCTTGTAGGTGGCATTCTTTGCTTTTAATAGTAGTAACATTTATGATCCCAGACATTGGATCACCTAAATACATAAGAGAAGCTAGTAAGGCCTGAGGTTCTGAATTTTGTCTTTCCATGCACTCTAGACATGTCACTGATGTAAGAAAATATAATKTTAAAATGTGGTAAAATGTGATTTAAATACTATCATGTTTGGCTAAAACTATGGAGATATGGTTGAATGCTGAGCTTTCATGCTCTGCTATTTTTACATCTGTTCCATGCTGYTTCTGGGCAGCAAGGCTGATGAAAGTAGTGCAAGTAGGCTGGGGCCAAGTTTATTTTCTGTTCAAGAAACAAAACAGTTTTTCTCAGAAAAGTAGTTTGTTAGGCAGGTAAGTAAGAGGTTGAGGAATACCAAAAAGTAGAAAACAAACATGCAGCTTTCACTGTGGCAGTGACTGGCAGGCAGCTGCACTTGTAAATGTGAGGAGAGAGATTAACATCAAGAATGCAAACCGCAATTGGTCCTGAGCTTCTGTCTTGGTTCTTTGTGGTCAACATATCCAGGATCTGTAGGTCTGGGGTCTGAGTCTTTCAGCTAACCTCCAAACAAACACATCCATAATATCCGAAAAATATCTGAAAAAAAAAAACCTGTTCTCTAGATTTCATTGGTTCCATATTGGAAGACCTCTCAGTTACAGTGATTTTGCTGTCTTGCAGGGTACTTTAGTTCATCTGAATTTGCAGAAGAGAGAAATCCTGGTTGTGGCATTTTCATTGAAGAGTTTGTAATATTCTGGAATGGCAGTTAGTCTTACTTTGCTCTTACCATGTGTAAAATCTACTAAACTAAGGTGAAGGAAACTTAGTAAGGAACATTAAATCCCCTTTTATTAGTTTTGTTGCAAACAGGTCCATTTGTTCTCTTGATGATATACTCAGCCTTTAAGACAGGTAGCAGAGTTTGATTTCCTCTTAGAATACAATATACTTATGCAAGTGAAAAATCCAAATAGAAGATTTTAGCTATTAGAGAAAACAAAGTAATTCTGCAGAAAATTCAGAAKTTACAGAAGCTGATTTTTTTTAGTATGGTTGTTTTTTATTAGTTTTGCTTATTAAGTACAATTATTTTGTAATAATTCCTAATTCTTTAATGACCTGTGATGGCTCTTATGCCCTTTTAATAGAGTTGAGAGGAAAGCATGTACTGAAGATTTTTCTGTAAAACTCCTGATCAAATAACTTGCTCTCCTTATATCTTTTGTCTTGTTTTCTTCCACAGATGCTGTCTTTGCATTCCAGTTACGCAACCCGGTGCACAATGGCCACGCTCTTTTAATGCAGGATACTCATAAGCAACTTTTGGAACGTGGCTACCGACGCCCAGTTTTACTCTTGCACCCACTTGGAGGCTGGACAAAGGAGGATGATGTTCCTCTCATGTGGCGCATGAAGCAGCACGCTGCTGTGCTGGAGGAGGGGATCCTGAATCCAGAAACAACAGTGGTAGCTATATTCCCTTCCCCCATGATGTATGCAGGACCAACTGAGGTAAATACAGCAAGAGTTTAAAGCAAAACAAAACAAACCCCTTTTGATAGTGCACTGAAGTATTTTGTGCTGTGTCTGATGTTTGTGTGTTGGGTTGTTTTAATAGAGAGAGAGAGAAGACTAATTTTCCTTGCAAAAGCAGATTATCAAGTCTCTATTACCAACCAAAACATTCCCTTATGAAGAACCTTCTATATTGGAGGGTTTTGCTGGAAATGGTGGGAGAAAATACTGGGTTTTAGATTCCTTTCTTTACAGTTACAAGGATATGATAATAAATTAATCCTTCCTCCTTTTTTACAGTCTTTTTCAGAAGGAATTATAAGAACTGTTAACATACCAGATAGTTGCCCCAAATATTAAGACACTTAAGTTTTATGACTGTTAAGCAAAAAGATTGTAGGTTGGAGGACTATACACATATTAAGAAAGAAACAGTCTATTTTTTGGCAAACTTAATTCAGAAGAATTGTTTCAAGGCTTTTGTATGAAATAATTCTTTGGCAACACTTTATTTAGGAGCGAGTCTTGGGTTGGAGTCCCTAGAGGTTTGTGGGAAGCAGCAGAAAGAATAAATGTTCTCATTTGAGGGCAGTTCCTCTAGGGGATATTGATTCTCCATCTTATTCCTTTTTTTTTTCCTCTCTCATCTTCCCTCCACCTTGAGTCACAGAAGTGACTCACTTCTGACCAGGCTCTGAGGTAGCTTTTCCAATAAATAGGAGATCTTAATAGTTAAGTTAAATCAGACTGATGACACTTGTTTGTTGCTGGCCAGTTGACTGATCAAATAGAGCTTGCACTGCCTTTCAGTGCAGAGAAAAAACTGCAGTCCAGATCTAGTTGAGGCGTATGTGTRAGTTACTGTAGGGAATGTCCTGCTGTTCCATACAGGCCTTTTGTGAGAATTAACAGATTATCTTCTACCTCATTCTTGTATGTGTGAGGAGAAACAAAATCCACAATCCCTATTCTGAACAGGGGAAAGTTTTTCTCCTTACCTATATGGCATTTCCAGTGACCTCAGAGTACGATCTGACAGTAATGTTTGTTCAAGTAATAAAAGAGATTCTTTCTTCAATTATTTTCCCTAGTTTATTTAAAAGTCATTGGTACTAGATCTATTTGTACAGCACAAGTGCTTTACAGAACAACAAGCAGCTGGTAATAGGGTTATCTACAAGGTGCATGTGGCCTTCCAGTCTGTAAAACTCTTAATGGACAAGTTTCATAAACATTAATTTAGCATTTTTTTGTATTTTTAACATCCTGATAAGTGCCTTGAAAGAAAAGAAACAGTTATATAATGCAAAGCTATATCAAAATGCAATAAATCCACTGCTTAGGAAAGTAAATATATTCTGAAGTAGTGTGGTTGTAYAGAAATAGACAAGAGCAGTGTGCCCYGGTGGCCAAGAAGGTTGATGGTATCCTGGGATGCATTAGGAAGASCATTGCCAGGAGGTCAAGGGAGGTGTTCCTGCCCCTTTATTCAGCCTTGGTGAGGCACATCTGGAGTGCTGTGTCCAGTTCTAGGCTCCTCAGCACAGRAGAGACCGGGAGCTCCTGGAGCAGGTCCAGCAGGGGCCACAAGGAGCATCTCTTATGAGGGGRCTGGAGCATCTCTTAGRAGGAAAGGCTGAGGGAACTGGGCCTGTTCAGCRTCGAGAAGWCACAACAGAGAGGGGAACTCATCARTGTCTATCAGTATCTGAAAGGAGGGTGACCAGAGGATGGAGCCAAGCTCTTCTYGGTGATGCACATACTAAGCTATATAGATTTTATGTGAGTGCTTTAAGGGGAAAATTCCCAGTATGAGAGCACATTGACATTTTCTGAAGTGGTGTCATCATTATTCACCTAAAGTAAAATAATAGTTATTTTAGCTTTCCTGTATAGTAGTTAAATCTTGTATTGAAAATAATGCATATAAAAATTAATTACTACCTTCAGTAGTAACTGAACTATAAAAAAAAAAGTTAAAAATGCCATAAATAGTCAGTGCTCCGAAAGCCTATTACAAGCATTCATGTGCTGTGTGTATCTAGTTTTTGTCCTTTATGTCTTAATGTTCATGCAGACTAAGTGCTAGTTCTGCTTTGAACCACATCCTTGCCACATGTACAAGTTGAAAATGCTGAGCGTGTGTGATTTTTCTTTCTGAATGTGTAGGTTGTGCAGAAGTAACTTTTGGAGCACCACTGTACAAACAAAATGGGAATAGTGCATTTTAGCTGAAAGTTTAATGGGGATCAAAATAATTATTTCTTTATTATAGTAAAATCTCACATCTGATTGAGAAAAACGTGGTAATTACAGAGTGCATGCCCATTTTGAGGGTTGCATTTTTCATCATTTTCTTCTCTTAACCATTTTCCTGTCTCTCTTGTAGGTTCAGTGGCACTGCAGATCACGGATGGTYGCAGGAGCTAACTTCTACATTGTAGGGCGAGATCCAGCAGGGATGCCACACCCTGACACTGGGAAAGATCTCTATGAGCCAACCCATGGAGCCAAAGTGCTGACAATGGCTCCAGGCCTCCGAGCACTGGAAATTGTACCCTTCAGGGTTGCAGCTTATAATAAAAAAAAGAAGTGCATGGATTATTATGACTCTGATCAGTAAGTGGTATTTTCATTTTAAGAACGTTTTGAGCAATAACTGCCTCTTACCCCTGCCCACATTAAAAAAAGTTGTTTGCAATTAAATTCATATTGCTCAAATATGGCAGCGTTTAGATGTGGTTTTAGATCAATGTAGCTTTTAGACAAATGTAGCTTGATTTCAGAATGATTTGGTTCACAGTGCATCTACCTGATCTAACTTTAGTTGCCACATGAAGACTCCTCAGGTACTGAGGTTTCTCTGATTCTGGAACATAGTGGCACAGATAGGCAAATCCAGAGAAAGATATTACTATTTATTATAATGGTAATATTAGTTTTCTGCTGCTTTGTCTTTCAAAATAAGCTTCTCAGGTGTCAGGTGTGCATCAGATTGGAGAGAAGAGAAACAATGASAGTGTGCAGCATGGAGAAGAAAGTGGACAAGATGGGGTGAAAAAYAGCTATTTTCTCTGTTAGTAATAATGCAAAATGATGCCCTAAGAATATTCTGTGTCCCGGGGTTTTCACCTGTATGGTTTCTTTTTTTTTTAATCCAATTACAGCACAGTTCATTTCACCTTCTCCATGCATATACCAATGTTATTTTTCCGTTGTGTGGGATAGGAGTCCAAAACTTAGTGTATGTGTTGCTCTTGTGACAATTAATGATATTGGGAAGATGACTTGTCATAGTTTAATCCTCTTTGTTCAGGTTACTGAAATGTACTTTTATTTTACATCAAACTGCAGTTGAAGTTGGTACTGAAATGCAAACTTCTCTGGTCAACCAACCTGTTCCAGTGCCTCACCACCTTTACAGGAATGAATTTCTTYCTAATATCTAATCTAAACCTACATTCTTTCAGTTTAAAGTCATTCCTCCTTCTCCTATCACTAYATGCCCYTGCAAAAAGTCCCTCTCCAGCTCTCCTGTAGCTTCCTTTAGGTACAGGAAGGTTCTATGAAATCTCCCCAGAGCCTTCTCTTCTACACACTTATCAACTCCAACTCTTTCACCCTGTCTGCAGGGGAGAGGTGCTCCAGCCCTCACATCAAATTTTTTGCCCTCCTCTGGACTCACTCCATCAGATCCTTGGACTTYCTTTGTTGATGTCCCTGGGTCTGGATGCAGTACTCCAGGTGGCCTGTCACAAGTGTGGAGTAGAGGGGGAGAATCATCTTCCTGAGCCTGCTGGTCATGCTTYCATGCAGGAAGATTAAAGTGAAGTAGTATAATTATTGGTGTGTCAATTCTTAATTAATTAGAATAGTAAAGGAGTAGCAATGTGACAGGCCAAAATTCAGAACACTGATTCTCTGATCATTGATATTGTACTCTTTGCAGGATAGATGTGATTTGGATCAAGGGGAGTAAAATTGTACCTCTGTCATTARCCAGTTCATATGAGGAAGAAAAACCCCAAACAACTCTTTGAGATTTTTAATGAAAACCTGTGGGAACAGATTTTGACTTCTGCCACWGGTGTAATCATTTGCACCTTTTTATCCTTTCATTGTGTCTGTGAGGCTGTGGTTTGGGGCACTTTTTTTCCTGTTTCTATAACTCCAAGGGAAAAAAGCTATGCAGCTACTGAGGTGCAGTTCTGCCCTGCTGCTGTCAGGATGTAAGACCATTTGTCCTGTCTGTCCCTAGATACTGTTTGCAGATGGACTGGAGCGGGGCAGCAATCCTCTAGATGGCAATGCAGACACATGCAGGCTCCCATTACTGCTCCTGCTTGCCAGAGACAGAACACTGTGGTAGGCTCCAGACAGAGTTAGAGCTTGGGTGGGTGCGTCTGGCTGCCTTTCAAGATAGTCTGTGTAATGCTGAAAATGTGGCAGATTCCWGGACCATGTGGTGTTTGACTCCACAAGGAGGATGGCAGGGAAGAGAGGGTTGCCTGGAAATATGAGAGGATCACTGCTGRTGGAAGGCCCTTGGATGTGAAACAGTGATGTCTGTGGAAATATTTCCTGAGCTCATTTAGTGAAAACCACAGCATGAAAATGTGGGGAGGAGGTTTGTATGCATAGAAGCATTGCTGTGATTTGTTTTAGAAAAGGGTGATTTGGTTTCTCTTGCACCKTTCTCAGTTCTTTGAGGCCTGGAGACCTGACAGCCAAGTAGGCAATTCCAGAATTTACATCACCAATGAGTGCGTGGAAGGTTAGGGCAAGTGAGTTTCCCTTGGACGGAGCTGTAGCTGAGCCATGTGTCCTAGCTGCTGGGTGTAGTTAATCTTTCCCCACATGGTCATCTCTCCTATTCTTTCAGACCTCCTGGATTCCTCTGTTTGGGGGAGGTGCTTGTGAGAAGCCTACACCTGCCCCGCCTCCAATGAATACCTCACTTCTCTGGTGCTGTGTGTAGTTCCAAGAAGTTATTGTGCTTTAAGTCTTCTGCTCCCAAAGGTGTCCCTGCAACTGTAGTTTCGTGGAGTTCATACAGAATTCAGTTTTTTTCTCACTTCCATTAGTATCCTCCAGAACATGTGCTGCCCTTGGAGTTTCAGCTGACCCAGTATCTGCTAGGGGACAGTCTGAGACAGTTTACTTTGCGTGTCAGGGCCTCGTGCTGCTGGTCAACAATGTTGAGCTGTTATGGTGCTGCGTTGGATCTGAAGTGACCTGACCCCTGTTAGTAAGAAAAGGCAGAAATATCCTGTTTGCACTCAGGATAATGGAGCATTGTCTGTGAGGAAAGGGGGTAAGAAAAGACTGATGTGAAAGCCTTTATAACAGCTGCACAACAACTGTCATTGCAGAGTAATGCACAAAGCTTAACTTGCATAAATTGTTATCCTTTAGAATATAAAGACATATGAAGAACCAATGACTTGGAATTGTACTTGTATTTTACCTCATGAAGCCAGCACAATTTTTAATTTGKTTCTTGGGCATCTTAGAAATAGGTTTAGCACCTCATGAAACTGAACTCTTGAAACATATTTTTGAAAAAAAGGTGCCTAAAACTAAGATCTAGGAAAAGGATTTGAGGAGTGCATTTGAAGTGATGTAAAGCAGCACAGGTAGAGTTAATTTAATTTTATTTTCCCTTTGCTCTAAGTGAGGATAATAAAAATACAATTGCTCTTTTTGCTTTTTGTCAAGGCAGATGGTAAGCCTAATCTAARTTTCTGTGGGAAGCTTGAGCATTTCCACTTGCATAGAATTCTGAAGTAATGCATATAAAAACTATTATGAATATTGTTACAGTCCTTATCAAACTTTTTACACTTTTAGATTTCATAGAATTTTGAAACTATTATTGAGTACGTCCACATGTGTTTTGGAAAAGTTTATAGTAAGAATCCTAGTTATAATGGAGTAATTCAAAATGAATGTCTGACCTGTAAACCACTGGTAGAGTGAAGTACAAAGGAAACAACCAAAGAACCGAGAAACCAACAAATAAACCCACTACTTCCCCGCCCCCCAGAAAAGCTTACCCAATGCTGAAATCCCTTCAGAAAAACAATTAGCRTGTTTCTTCAGCCAAAAAGGCCTTGTAAACAGTTACCAGAGACAAGTGCAAGTTGGGATTGGTGGCATAATAATAGCAGCTGGTTTTGTGAGCWGAGATTCCCAATTCTTTATGGAAGATCAGTCCTATAAAATGCAGCCACAGACTGCTGCTGAGAAAAAATTCAATTAAGGAAGGAAATTAGCCTGGCAATTAAAAAAGCCACAGCAGTGTCTGGAAATAAATAACTATTTTCTCTTCCAGAAGGAAAACCAAAGAGGACATTTTGGCTAAAAGAAACTGGTAAGTAAGGTGACTGGAGCAGATTGTTCGTGCTGTCTATAAAATGTGAATCAAGCGTGGGTATCTGTGAAGAAGGGAGATTTTAAATTTATATGGTTCGTTCCCAGGACCTTTAATACGGTTGCCATGACTGCTTTAATATTATCAAATTATACTTACAAGACAGCTCCTTCAACTAAGTACAAACTGTTCTCAAATTTGTTTGTTTGTTGAAGTGATAGTAAGAGGCTATCAAGTAAGTAATAAGCACACTTGATTGTTCTCCTTAATTTAGTTATGAGAAATATGATTTCTCCATTCCATTAGTACATAATTTAGGATACASTGAAACACTACAACAGCCCARGAAATTCAAACCCTCCTGCCAGYCAGAAAGGAATTAGTAAAGGATGCWGGTGTTGATATTAATCACATAATTGTGTTTTAATTTCACAGTYTGTTTGTGGCTGGTTGGGATTAGAACCTAGCTGGCACTAGTTTGTTCATTCAGCATCAAGGGACATTCATTCCCAAGGCATAATATAGTCTTCCTGAGGGAATTATGGTGTAAGTCATGACTTGATCCTGCAAAGGCAAGCTTAAATTCAGGAAAAAAATCCTTCTAAAAACGGTTTAAGGTTAGAATTGGACCCCAGATAAGGAGGCTGTGACTTGTCCCAGAAATTAGTCTGAAGCTGAATAGAACATCATAGTTGTTTTGAAGACAGACCAGGGTGAATAAGTAATGTTATTTTTTTTTATTTCCCTATATTAATTTAAAAACAAGGCAAAACTATGAATGAGTCTATACTCTTATCATGAGTCTTTTATTTAAGAGTCATTCCTTAAGACCTTGAGAATGCCAGACATTGCCCTCCACAGAGAATGGGAATTCCAAGAAGGTCATTCGCACARTGCTAAATACCTAACAGGAGGTCAGGGTTCCCAAGATTATGACTGATCTTTAGTGCTCCCAGATCAAAAATCTGTGTAATGTGATCTATACTTAGATTAAATTTGTAAGGAATAATTTTGAAGCAGRAAAAATATTCTCTTCARTTACTGCATTAATGTGCTRTATTGACACTTCAAAGGTGCAACACCAGAGATTTCCTGTAGGCCTGTTGCAGTTGCTTCCTACTTGCAAACTAGTGATGTCCTTGTTTTGTCACAGGAACTGTAAGGTCTGAAATCCCTGTCCTCCATAAGTAAGTCTGAAATCTCCCATCCTCCAGGAAATTTCATCATGTGTGTAGGTATTTTTTTTTTCGTACACTGTGAGGGTAGTAGAGTTCTAGGATGCTATGCCACAGAACACATACCAGTCCTCAATGAAATGTTTCAAGACTGTTTTTCTGTTGAAAATTTTTTGTTGCCTTCTTTTCCTCTTTCTTTTGGAAAATACTTTTAATTGCAGTTTTACGAAGTATTGTGTAAGTACCAGTCAAGCTCAATTGGCAGTAAAAAGTCAAGTCCACATTACAAGTATTTAGTAGCATCCARTGTGGCTAAAAGAAAGCTGATTCCAGCGGCTACTGAGTAAAATTTTCAAAGGCACTTAAATCCTGTACTCAGAAAAGGCTTGTATTAAGTTTCATTAARAGTAATTTCAAATCTGACAAGAATGGAATTTGAATGGCTTTGACATTTATATTTTATGGCATCTTTAATGGTCAAAAGTTTCCCCTTCTCATATTCCACTGAAAACCATCTTATATAGAGTAACTCCTAATATCCTCAAAATTTACTCTGAAAAAAATTACTTGATGACTCTTTTTATTATCGCCGTCTACTAAAGCAAATTACTCATACTGGTRTGTTTTATTTCAAAATGCTTGTGGGTCACATCATGACAAGTGATGACAGTACTGATACAGTCTTTCTCCTTAGCAGAAATCTCTGTTTCTGAAATTTGATTTTTACCATKAGTAAAGACAATGAGCATTAAGTGGTTATTCAAACATTCTGTTTTATGTATGAAAGTAGACTGAACCGAAAAATTGTAAATGCAGTAATTTTTAAAAAGAAAAAAATATTGTATTGTTGTGTATATATTACCAAGGTTCAATTTGAGTCACTTTAGTGATTACTAATGAAGGTATTTTTTAAATAAAGAAAACCCCTTTCAAAATAGATGTTCAAGATAATGAGAGGGCATCATTACTAGTTTTGTACTTTTTAGGGGTATTTTGAAAGCATTTCTAGAAATGCTATGAGATGTTGAGTGTCCTATGTGCTATGAAATAATCCTCACTGTTTTTCTTTAATTTTTTTAATTATTTCTGTAGATCTCCTTCGCTTCTTTTTGTGTGTACCTTACCTCTTCCTTGATATCCCCAATTCTTAGTTGCTTTTTGTGCAGCTAGGGATAAGAAGCAGCTAAAGGAGTTGTATGTGTTAATTGAAACCAACTTCTATGACATATCTAAATGTAGAGGTGTAGTACCATTATTTCACTTATAGGGCTTGGGAGGAAATTGAGTGTTTCTCTGAAAACTTAAGAGGAGGGGATAAAGCAACTTTTTTTTTTTTTTTAATGCTCTAACTTTGGAATTGCTACCACAGTGTGAAGAAAACACACACGGAGAAACTTTATAGTACTTGCTTTACTCTTCTCTTCCTGATTATCTGAAGACATGGTAYTTTTTTGACAGAATTAACCAGGCTTGTCACTTCTGCACATATATTTTGTAGAAATAGTTCTTTGCAAAGAGCTCAAGTTACTGTTAGACAGTGTTAGTGAACAGCAGACATCTCTGCTAAGGAATAAAATTTTCAAATATTATAATTAGCAGTGCCAAATTTTTCTCCCATGGAACTGCATCAACTTTAAATTTTCATTTTTGTGTGATTTATATTTTGCACGATTAAAGCACAGTAGGGTTTKKTTTTTTTTTGCCTTGTGACACTTCAGGAGCCCGCAGTCCCAAATTTAGAGCAACAAGAAAAGAGCATGTGTGACAATGCTGCTGTGTAAATGTATACAGTCCAAACCAAAAAGTTATGAGGTCTAGTGTTGTTGTGAAAGGGAACTGTGGAATGCTTTCTGCATCTTGCTAAGTTCCATATCCTACTGAGCATAAACCAATGCTTAGAGCCAAGTTTTGCCCTCTGGTGTGCACAGTTGGCTCTTGTTTCTATGTAAGGCATGTGCATCTGAGATCAATACTTGGTTTTTATTTCAAACAGACAAGTAAAGAGTGAGTAATCCATATATGTTGCAAGTTGAGCAAATGGCATAAGTAAAATTGCGTATTTAATTTAGAAATACATAATTTTTCTTTTAGAGCATTTGATGGAACTCTGGCATTCTTGTCTTGCTTTTACTCTTTCAGTCCTGTGAGGAGTAATTTAATTTGTGTAGCTTTTGCTGTTTAGGACCACATACCTGAAAGGTAATATTAATTTAGATTCTTATGTTAAACAATGGTAAACAATCCTGATCTGTGTTCWATATTGCATTTGTACAACTGAATTCTACTTTTTAGGGAAAATATCTGTAGGGGTAGATGTTTGTATTATTCCTSTTCTTTTCTTTTTATTTTGAGGTGTACATATGCCACGTTATTGGTATGCATATGTGTGTATACACGTGCTCAGTGTCTCGCAATGGCACAGCTGTGAAGCTTGCCTCTGGATACTAGGCTTTTACTATTTTCCAAAGAGTCTCTCACTAAGATTTTGTGTAATGAAYTTTTACACATTCTCTAGTGGCACTGGAATGGCCTTCTTGACCCAGTACAGAAACATTCAACCWCTTCATCAGGATGGTGTCTTGCTCTGGCAAGGCAAGGTGTAAATCAGGATGGCTGCTGTTGCTTTGGCAGAGGGCTCAGATAGTAGGTATAGTAATGGTTTTCCCTCAAGAGGAGTTTGTTTCCTCACAGAGAACAAGCCAGGCTTAATGGAATCACACACTGAATTCAGTACGCAGGGGCTGAGTTGGACCAATCTGCTAAAACCTCAGGAGTTACCAACGCTAAATATTGTAGAGRATGTATATTCTTGAGATTTACTGGCATTGCTGGCTAGATGTCTGAAATAGCAGTGGCTATACAGCATTGTACTCCCAAGAAGAAATGTTTTAAGTAGCAAGAAAATAGAAGGAATATTAACAACTTTGCCTGTTTCTAAAGTATGTTCTCTCCCCCCACCCCCACCCTCCCTTTGCCTCCCTCCTACTGTCTCAGCCATGAAGACTTTGATTTTATATCGGGGACCCGCATGCGCAAGCTGGCTCGGGAAGGACAGAACCCACCGGAAGGCTTCATGGCTCCGAAGGCTTGGACTGTGCTGACAGAATACTACAAATCCTTGGAGAAGGCTTAGACCTCTTATTAACTGCAGATCAACCTTTGACGCCTGATTTATTTACGAGAAGGGGACCACACAGTCACCATTCATGTTGCTTTGTTGTGGTGTCTGTCAGGAAGTTCTCTGAAAACAGACTCTTTCTTCCTAACTTAGCATCATTCTTTGCCTGCCCTTATGGGTTCTATTATGTCCTGGCACCTAACTAGCTGCTGGTTTTAATGTCTTCTCTTTTATTACAGTTAATATTCTTGCTGTAGGATTTTTAACTCTTGTATTTTTTTATATTTTATTGCCTCTGTCCTGAGTTTTGCAGCTGTTAAATAGATGCAGCTTTTTCATATGTTATTTAAGCTGCTGGGTAGTGTCTGGTTTTTGTAGTTCATAGGAGAAAATGTAACGGTTAGTCCCTTAACTATGGATAGATTATCTATAAATCAAAAGAGTAAAGAATGTTTCAAAACATCTGTAAAAGTGCCCTCATCTTTATCTCATCATTATCATCTCCAGAAGCACTTAAAATTTATTTCTGACTATATGTAATCAAAAAGCAGATTTTTTTTTATGTAGCATTATTAAAATTTTGCTTTCTTTGTTTAATTTTTGAGTTTGAGTTCTATGGTGATTCTCTTCTGTTGTGGACCTGTAAAGATGGACAAGTAATGAATAAAAGAAAATAYCTAGTTTTCACATTGAATTGTTAACAAATTCACATATTGTTTTTGTAAAYGCTTGCTGCCATAGGTGTCAGTATGTTTTATTTCATTTAATGTAACTTGTTGGTTTTTTGATTCCAGATATCCTTGATCAGCCTACTACAACTTTTTTAAAAGCATGACARACCAAGCGTAAATTCATGTTTAATTATTACAAGAAAAATAAAGAAAAACCTTAGATCTTGGCATTTACTGTGGTAAAAATGCTTAGTTCAGATATTAATTTTCCATTTATTTTTCAAAGCCTCCAAAGAGTAATCTTCTCGTTAGTCARCTTTGTTTGTTTTAAAGGCAAAGCACGTGTTCTTTTAGGATTCTCCCAAAGTCCTGAAGAAATGTAAAAAATGAGAAGCAAAACCCTTCTTCAAGTGTAAGGTAACACCAGCCTGTTGTTATATTTTCAAGGATTTGCAGGTAATCAGTGGGACAGTCATAACCTTTCTTAGGTAGAAACAACCTCATATTCTTGTCACAGAAACTTATCTTGTTAAACAGTGTATAGAGGAAAAACCAGCTCAAAACTGTTTTTAGAACGGTGATGCTGGATGAAGCATGTGTCCATCTAGATGTTTTGGATGCCAGGAAGGTGGTGTGAAGGAATCTGTGTAATGAATGGGATGAATGCTACTTGCAGTCTTTTTGCATGTTCACAGTAGCATTTAAGACAAATTCTTTGAGACTGACTTCCTCTTTTCTTACTCTGTCTCTGAAGAGATATAGAATATATCTTTTAGTGGGATTCTTTCCTCTAGAAAGAATAGACAGTAAGGTGGAATTGGGAAAAAACAAGTGGCTTGTGTATCACCCAATCACAACAGTTACTTGAGACTGTGTTTTGGTAGTGCCARGCTTATTTCTTCAGAATCACTGAACAGATTTTCTTCAAGCTTGGCTTTCTTTTTAGATTGTATCAATATAGGATGTACAAAATTCAGAAGACAGAGYCCATTCCTCTGCGTGCAGCTGTTTATACAAAACTTCAAGTTTAACATGAAGATGAACTAGACTTGTCAGCTGCTAAAATGGAATTTGCTGATGGAAGTTGCAGTTTGGACTCTTTCCTGTCAGGTTTGATTCTTTTGCTAGCTGMGATGAAAGATAAAAATTATTTTGACAGAATAGAAAATGCAGGTGAATGTCTACAGAGGTTAATATTTTTAAAATGCTATATGAAGCCTGGAAAAGAAGTGGGAGTGATGAATGTGAATCATCCCGTGAAGTTAATTTAGAAGTAGGAATGCCTTCAAGCAAGTGATGACAAGTGGATCTAGTTTTCTAGACTTAACCCATTTTGTTGTTATCTTGCTTCTGCAAAGCATTTTTTTGCAGGACTCTGTATTGAAGAAGCTGCAAGCTTTTCTAACTTAAAGCCACAGCATTCCCAGCATAATGCTAATTGGAAACAGGAGCATCTGATCAATTTGTGAGCAGGACTTGCTTTATAGAACAGCATTTTCTGAGCAGTGACCTCAGGAACATGTCATGCAACAGAAGAAATGTCATCCATGGACCACTATGTGATCCAATATGAGGACAGGACCTAACATTTGATCAATGTAAGCCAGACCTAATTTTGCAGCTGGAAAAATAAAAAGCTACATTGTCTCACTCCTTCATTTCCTAAAACATCTTTTTTAAACTGGTAAAATACTGGTATGTACATGAGTCATGAATCTAAGCATTTGTATAGGTGGGTTGTTACAAAGAGCAATAAAATCAAACTWCCAAGCACATAGTCTTTCCAGAGACTGTTTAACAGTCAAGAGGAGTTTTACTCTGTTCATTAGGATGAGAAATGTCAAAAAGTGTTCCCCCTGCATCATATTGTCTACCTCTACATTGATCAACCTTATAAATGGTTCTTTACCYTKTACWRYWGTAMARGGTATTTTATGGCAATTAACCTGTAATTTTTGTATAGTCTCARGATGATTATTCACTTCTAGAGGATCATTCTRTTGTATTGGGCATGTGATATATGGAAGTAGTAACATCCTTGATCTGTATGGCTGATACAAACACAGTTTTTCAAATTACAAGATGAACGAGGCAGGTGGAGATTACCAAAYCCTAATCCTTGGAGTTAAATAAATGATACTAAATTACTGCATCTCCAAGGTGAAATAATTCCTGCAGTACCCATGAGCAATTTAAGAAAATGGRAGCTTTTTGTGAAAGATTTCATGGTTGAGAATTCATTTTTTCCTTCGTGAGTTCCTTTATGCATTTTTTTTTACTAACATGAATATTCAGGATAACTTTACAAACAAGGATCTACATGTTGTGATGTAAAAATAGCAGATAAATGCTAAGGATGCTGACTTCTGTCTGATTTTTTTCTTTCAATAGGGAATCTGAGCACTAGCAACTCAGTGATCAGAGATGGAAAATGGAGAATGTAGACTAGATCAAAGGTAATTTTTTAGATGCAGTTTGGAGGTAATCAAGCTTCTGTATCTGGAATAATGCAGCAGAAATCAGGAGTGGGAGGAAATGAGAGGCTGTCCCGGCATAGTGGTTGTGGAAATAGAACAAGGCTACAATGACCTGTGTAGCCAATACTGTAACTTGCCTCAGTTTGAACCTCTCTTCCATTTCATATTTACTTAATTTTAAAAAATTTTGAAAGTGGGTCATTCAGAGTGTTAAACTTATTGTCTTCCCATGCTAGGAAAATAATAGAAGTTACTTCGAACATCCTAAACAAATATTAAGTAGTCCAGATTCTTTTCCCTTCCCAACAATTTAAAGGTGCTAACCAGTGTATTACACCCTTTCCCTGGAGGTGCTGACAGTGTGTGTGTGACTTTCAGCTTTTCTTTTATCTCTACTCATGAACCTTTAAGTTGTTGTGCTAGGCATTGTAGGAACGTGGAAAAAACCTCTCATCTCTGCTTTCCTGTGAGTCAGATATCTAACTGCATTTATGGCACCATCTCTTAAAGACAGAGAAAGGAAAAACTAATCCTTCACTTAATATGGGACAATTGATAGGCAAAAATGATGGAAACTGGATCTTCATTTAACTTTGCATGTACRTCTGTTTATCCTTTGCATATATGCCTATAGGAATGAGATTCGCTGTGGTGTTAGAACATTAGTAAGAAATGTGTGGAGATGATATTCTACTCAAACCAGACACAGAATCCCTTCATCACCCATAAAAAGCCAAGGACTTCAGCCTGGAGTGAGTTGGCCAAATTAAATGCTGSAATGAAAGCAACTGATAGCTCAGAATAAGTATTTTGTTTGTCTTTAGGATTGGTCTTGGAAACTTGCTTACCAAAATTCTTGATTTAGATGCTATTGAAGAGAGGGAGTGACTCTGGTTCCATTTTTTTTTTTTTTTTTCATGCTTAGTTTTTTTACAGATGGAACTGAGAGGCTAGATTGCTRAGGGGAAATTTAAAGCCTCCAGTGGCCAATTTGATGGATATGAGAGTTCCTTGCCAGCAGCCGAAAAAGTGCCAGGTAAACATGTGATTTAAAGGAAGACTGTGCAGACATTCTGCTCGTTTGTGTTGATTTTACCTTGAAGAAAGCCTGAGGGCTGGAATACCAGTGCCTCTTTTAAATTAGCTTTTTCATTCACAAAAAACTTTTTGATTAGGAATATAGCTGGATTTTTACTAGGCTTTTGAAGTGTCCATTGAAGGGTTTTCTTTGTTTCTCTGGCAAGCTCTGTGTCTGTTCTTGTGGAATTAATTTTTTTTAACCTGCATCCCTTTTCATTATTTAGACTTTATTAAAATCACTTTTTTTTTCCTTCTTGATGGAGGTTATATATGCTCATGAGCCAGAATCATGCGTTCAGTATTTCCAGAGCTGTTTGCCCTAGAAACCTCATCTTGATATAATTTTGAAGATGAGGGGGCAAGTCAACTACACTGAAAGCTAGAAAACACAGCTTTAAAGTCACATCTGGAATCCTTAGACTGTTAGTGGCTCCAGCTTATAACAGAGAATACAGAGATTTTATATGCCATAAAACTGAAGTAGCCTTGGATTCAGTATAAGAGTAGTCACCCGACTGTCACGTTAAAATCCATCTACACAATGCTTTGAAGTATGATTGTAGTCAGAATGATACCTGTCTATGTATAAAATGAGAGAAAAAAACCAGTTTCAGTATAAAGTTTAGTGGACTGGAAGTAGTGCCCAAATCTTGATTTTATCCTCTGCAAGCAAAGCTGTTTTGTCTGTGGAGTCCTACATTCATCACTCTAAATTTCATCATATGAGAAGAATACAAGCATTTTGGCCATATCTATCTATTTTGCTCTCATAACAGCAGTTATGATGCACATAAAAAAAAMCCTTCAGTCTAAGCTGTGAGTTGGGTTTTTTTCTGAACACCTGCAGATCTCCAGGGTTTCTACCCAGATGACTTTTGTCTGAATTGTTGTGGTTGAAAGCGATAATTTTTGTAAAGATTGACAGTAAAGTTCATTGCAATAATTGTGATGAGACAGATGAGAGACACCAGTATCCGTGTGTTAATATTCTCAGAACAGAGTTAATACATTTTGTTCATTATGAAACTTGACATTTTTTTCAGGACAAACCCACTCTAACATGGAAACATTTCTTTGATTTCAACAGTGCTCCTCGGAGAATGAGAAATTATTTAGGCTTTTGTTTTATTAATTTGGTTTCATCAACAGCTTTCTCAAAGACTTAAGTGGAAGCAGGAGAAACTCCTTCACCCTTAAATATTGGACTCAAATGCTGCCTGCTGTAGAATGGAAAACTGCAGTTGATTAGTCAATGGAAGGTTATTTGCAGGATTGCTCATGTGTCATTGAGTTCTGCCTTGTTTATAGTTCATCTACGACCTGTGAAAAACAATATTTTAATGATTTGATTCAATTGTTTCCAGACAATGAAGACAATTATGAGACAAGTTCATGTTTAACTTTCCACTAGGAAAAAGTTTAGTGTTATTACTGCATCCTAGTTTAAATATAAACTGTCTCAAAGATACAGAGTTGTAGTTATATGAGCAAAAATTTCCTATGATACTATGTGACAGCCGAGCAATAAACATACCGTCAGAGCCAAGATCATAAGTACAGTGCAAAATGCTAAAAGTATTATTGACACTTCTTCATAGAGACAGATATTTATAACTCCTTTGTTCCTAATTTCTTCAAGGAAAAATAGTGCTTTCTGGAAACGGAAAATGTGTGTTCCTTACTTGGTAGCTGGGGACGTTCAGAATAGCAGTGATTCTTTATAGTTTTTCTGATTTACTCTGAGTATTTTTAAATACATGGACACTTCTGAGGTCTGCCAAGAAATGGATTTGCAAAGAGCATTTAGGTTCYAAAGCTTTTCTTTGTAAACACTCTTGGCTATTTTGCTTATTATAGTTTGACCATTTTCTCCTCTGTACAAAGAAGTCATCATGCAAACATCAATCTTATGTAGAGATTGATGAGTTTTCATCAACTATTAAAATTACTCTAGCTCTTTTCTTTTTCATATTAGCCTTTGGTTCAGGGATTAATTTGTGTTATGAGGATTTCTTGTCAAATACTTTATGGGGTGGAGAAAAGTGTCTTTAAATAAAGTGATGTAGTGGTGGAGAATTTCAGGATAACCTAATTCAAGCATGGACAATAAAACCCCACATCTTGTAATAAATGGTTTAACCCCAGCTGGCAGCTGATCCCCACACAGGTGCTCACTCCCTGCATATCCGGATGGGGGAGAGGATCAGAAGGGTAAAAGTGAGAAAATCCATGCACTGAGATAAAGRCAGTTTAATAGCTAAAGCAAAAGCCTCACACACAACTAAAGAAAACAAGGAATTCATTCACTTCTTCTTATGGGCAGGCAGGTCTTCAGCCATCCCCAGGAAAGCAAGTCTCCATCCTGTCYAGTGGCTTCTTGATAAGAGAAATGCCATCACTCTGAATGGAAACCTCCTTCCTTTTTCTTCCCCCAGCTCTTTAGGCTAAGCATGCTGCCGTATGGAATGGGACATCCTTTGGATCTGTTGGGGTCAGCTGTTCTGGCTGTGTCTGCTYACAGCTTTTTGAGCACCCCCAGCCTCCCTGCCGGTGGAGTGATATGAGAGGCAGAAAAGGCCTTGACACTTACAGAGTAAAGCACTGCTCAGCAATAAGTAAAACATCTCTCTGTTACCAGAGCTCTGTTTTCAGCACAAATCCAAACATAGCTCCATACTAGCCACTGTGAAGAAAATTAACTCTATGCCAGCCAAAATCACCACAACTTTAAAAGAATGTTATGCCTTTTCTAGAATCACAGTTAAGGTTCAAATGCAAATTTAAAGCATGTTCTGCCTAAAAGAAGTGCAGAAAGAAATCATAGGAACCTGGATTCCTTTTGGTTGAAAGGGACCTTAAAGAGCACCTAATTTCAACTCTTACCATGTGCAGGGACACCACCCAAGATATCAGATTGCTTGAAGTCCCATCCAACTGACCTTGAACACTTCCAAGGATGGGGCATCCACAACTTTGGGCAATCTGTCCCAGTGCCTCACCACCCTCACTGTGAAGAACTTCTTCCTAATATCTAACCTRAATATATTCTCTTTTAATTTTAAACCATGCTCATGTAAAAAATCACTTTCTCTATTTTCTGTAAATACTGAAAGGTGACAATAAGGTCCCCCTGGAGCCTTCTCTTCTTCAGACTGAACACCCCCAATTCTTTCAGCCTCTCTGCAGAGGAGAGGCTCCCATCCTCTAATCATCTTGGTGGGTCCCCTYTGGACTTATTCCAAGAGGCCCACATCTGTGCTGGGGTTTCCAGATGTAGATGCAGTACTCCAGGGCAGAGGAGAGGGGAAGGATCACCCCCTTGACCTGCTACCTTCTTTTGAT